CAATCTCCTGTTCAGAGTCCAGGCAGCAAAACCAAACAAAACTTTGGAGAAGATAAACAGGACAGGACGGGTAAAGTTAAGGGTTATGSCCTCTCTCTCCCCTTGGGCCCTGGAGATGACCCCAGCAGGGACATGCATTTAGAGAAAGTATTTGTGTAGGCAACAGGCTCTGTTTTCACCCATCCATCACACAGCCCCTGGGAGAGCCTGGCTGTGCCCCTCGAGTTTTGGGGACACTTACACTGTAACATGGTGTTATGCTGCTATCAGGAATTCAGTGGCTGGAAGAATATATTYAGGATAAGTTATTGTGCAAGTCCCRGAAATTTATGTAGCGTCTCAACATCATCATATGGCAAACCCCATATCCTTTCAGGTGCTGGTTYGCACCTCCTCCAGAATCTCACCTAAAGTAGCCCCTGCCCATGGCAGGCAGCATCCAGCTCTGGCTCACAGCAGCTCCAGGGGATGGAGAAGAAACTCCTTCCAGCACCCCAGTGGGGTGCTGCACCACCACTCAAGGCTCTGATGCATGAATTTTGGGGTTCACTGCCCAAAGGAGCTGCTACTGCTGGGAGAAGTGAGTGCAACACCAGTGCAAGGCTGATGCAGACATTTAACTGCACAGCCCTACCTGGGCAGGAGAGCCTTCTCAGTCAAGAAAGAGATTAAAAAAACACCAACAACCAAGCAACCCAGCAGGAGCTGCTGCTATACTGGATAACCAAAAGCATAACTAATTAGACAGCAGTCATTAATGGAGGCCTTTTCTAGCCCATTCAGCAAGTCCCACTGACACTGTTTGCAACACAGACAAGCAGCATCAGTTTGGTCCAAGGTTTCTACAGCAGTTTTTCTGGTTCAGGCCTCTTGCAGCTTWGTCTGGCAGCAGAGTTAACACATTTCCAAGAAGCTAACTACGGAAGGGGAAATCCAGACAGTTGCCGAGACATTTTGGCAATTGGTTAAACAAAACCTGTTGCAAAGTAAAAAAAAAAAAAGGAAGAAAAAAGAAAATCCACTTATTTTCACTTTGTGGCAATTCAGAGCAACCAAGGGGCTTCCTCACAGTCTCTCCTTTGCTGTACAGATGGGGAACATCCAGTTCCATCTTACATTTAAAGGCCTTTCCCCTATGTGGGAAGTCAGGGAGAGACAAGAGACTATAGGGGACAGAGAAGGTCTCCTATTTCTCCTGTGCACTCATAAAGAACCTGCTGGTCCCTAGAGAAGCWGACAGAAAACAAACTAGGGCAAGCCAGACAAGCAGAGTAAGCCACCATGGCTGAGCATGAACCATAGAAGTCATCCCTAACTTCACAAAAAAAGTGCAAGATCTGATTGCAAGTTGTTCACAGAAGAGAATGCTGTCAAGTAGTTAAGAACCAGAAATATAAGCATTTGCATTTGGGTTTTTTTATTGTTTATAGTAATTTAAAAGGTACAGAAGTTTGCAAGTAAGTCAGACTCAGACCTCACAACCCTCCAGGCTTCCAGCACAGCTTTTCCAGTACAAGCACCAAGTTGTGGAAGCACTGTGGTTCACACAACTCCAGTAACCTCATTGGAGAGCCAGCACCTCCAACCAGAGCCAAGTCAGACCCAAAGTAGTGCCTCAACAGCAATTTCAACAAGGACAYGTGGCCAGGACTACTAAGCACCAGGTTACCCAGTGTAAGAGGATGGGGGCACCAGGATCTTTTGCCAGTGTAGGGAAGTGCTGCATGCAAGCCTCACATGATGATTAAGCACAATGGTATGGTCAGAAACAGCAGTGAAAAGACATGCAGATAATTGCTTTACAGAGTGAACCCCTGTGTCCTCTGGGACCTGCACTGCTCTCAGCCTGGAGAAAATTCATCTTTGGTCTCTCCAGGAAGAAAAGCAGCTTACAGGCCCTTCTCTTGGACAAGGTAGGAAGAGGCCCATCTTCTCTGATCAAGGGCTGCTGTTTGGAGATCCTCCACCAGGCTGTGACCAGTCAACCAAACCAGTGGAAATCAAATGTTCATTTCAAAACCAGGACCAATGAGCTGATCCAATAGTAACRTGTTGTGCATTCTCTTCCCAGGATGGGCATTGTGTATCAAACATGGTAAAGCTGTCATAAGGCTGTGGAGGATGGGGAGCAGTTAAAAAAAATCACATGAGTAGTGGCATCCATTGCTTGTGTTCCTTGCCAACTACACCAAGAACAGCTGCCAACTGGCTCCCACAGGGTACTGGAGCATCTGTCCGTTGGGTGTCTGACTCAATGTCTCAGTTTCTTTTTCTTCTTACGGTTCCGGTCCTCACTGCTGTCATCTGCCTCGCTGGCACTGGGGGTCACAGCCTGCTGGATGACTTTTTTTTCCACTGCATATTCCTGGTCTTCCATCTTGGGGTCTCCCTTGACCAAGAACTCTCCTTTCCGATAGGATATGGAAACACTGGTCCGGGGGTAGGTGCCATAAACCCTCCGGAGATCATCCTTCACAAATTCTGGCAGGTCTTTCCTTGGCCCAAACACCTTCCCAAGTTTCCCCCATTGAAGCTCCCCTCTCATTGTGAAGCCTTCTGGCCATGTGTCTCGATACTGATCTGACCTCTGGTAGGCAGCATAGGGATGGTAGCTTGCATAGGGATTGTAGAGAGGGACAGGGACCATGGGGGGGAAGTGCCAGGTGTGGTATGGATGGATATAGGGATTGGAGGTGCCATAGAGATGGTGAAACTCCACCTGGCTTCCCGCATAGTCAGGGTGGCTGTTCCGCTCCACCACAAAGGTGATGGGTCGACTGTAGAWGTTGTGCATGGGGATGGGAGGGAACATCACAGAGCTGGACAGGTCCTCTGCTCTGCCAGGCCGCAGCGGGGGGTAGGGGTAGGCAGAAGGTGGCATCATGGCTGGGTAATATTCCYGTGGCACAAAACTGGACTGGTACATTGTACAGCAGCCTGGGGCCTTGCACAGGGGACACTTCTCCAGAGCAGTTGCTGAGTCTCAAAAGCTGTGAGGACAGGAGGGAAAGAGAAACAATTTTCATTAGTTATACACATTCCAGGCAAATAAGGGGATACACCTGGCACTGTAAGCATACCAACTAATTAATAATGAATACAAGGAGCCCCCCATAGTTTGGGAGAGCAGTAAGTTACCAAGGACAAGTAGATCCCCATTGCCAGCCCGTTAACTGCTGTGCAAGATAATACTTAACCCACACAACTCAGAGTTACAAAGATGAGAACAAGCTGACGTAAAGACCACTGAGGGCAGAAGAGTCAGCTTCATATCCTCATGACTTGTGCCTGCACTTCTGGGAGGCAAGACACACTGCAAGAAGCTGAAGGCCCTTGAGCTGGCATGAAAAATGGGGAAGGCAAACACAAATGAAAGAAACAAAGCAAGTAGGCAAAGAAAGGGAAGAGGCAACAGCCCAGCCCTGCTGCAGTAATGTCAACTRCTATCCTGCCCAGACAAGGAAATCTTAAACAAATAAAAAGATCTTCAACTGTCCTTGACTCTCTCCCCATCCTCCCAAAGCCCTGTTTCCACTCTGATAAGCAAACAAGARCTGGACCTACTGTTTATTTATAGTGCAAAATCCAGGCACATCTACATTTCCTCTGRCAAGTTCTCATGTATAGGTTTCTCTTTCTGGTCTCACTAGTTGCCATTCACATTTAAGTGTGCATTTACCTTRAGCAATTCTGACCTGCAGATGAATTTGCTCCTAGCTTGCCCTTGCCAGATATCCAAGCACCCTCCAGGGCATTAAGCAATGTCCTCCCATGACTCATTATCCTCTCCCCTAGGGCAGGAAAGGAAGCTGTATATAGCATAGGGTTAGGGTTTTTTTAAGAAAAAGAAGTTTGCTATCAGAGACAGGAAAGTGCCATGCATAGAACTAAAGGCAAAAAAATGGTTTTTTTTTCCCATGGAGTTCAAATTCTGTGGGCTCTTTTTGCTTCAGCCTAAGAGTTGTCTTTCCCACAGGTGTTGACCAAGAAGGAGATGAAAGTTCAGCTGTCAYCTAAGGGTTGTCTGACAAAAGCAATGYTGGGTAGTGYAAAATGAARRKTTTTCTTCTTYTYAACCAGCCCAAGTTGCTACTGCTCYGRGAGATTTATAATGTGCTCTATCTCAAGYTTGCTTTTGCCATGCATGCAGGGATAGAAGCCTTCATCCAGCACAGGGAACGGCAGAGCAGCACTACAGTATTCAAGTCAAGACCAGGCAGCACYCTTAAACAAGCCTTGGAGAAAAGCCCGTCACATCCAACACCCCCTCAGATAGGAGAAAATGAAATAAAGTTCACAACATACATGCCTAACTTCCTCCAAACCACAAAAATCCAAAGGGGTATTGTATGTCAATGGCAACAGGTGGGCACATAGAATAAACGGTCTCATCTTGAAAACTGGTCTCAGTGCCTGTTTAAGCAGCTCATCCATGCATCCCTATTGGGATCCACACTCCTGTGAAGTATTTGTATTTCAGTGCAAGTGGTCTGCACAGAGAGTGTGCAGCTATTGCATCCATTGTATGAAACAAAGCAAGCCCAGCTTACACCCGTCTCGCTGGGTCAATGTGCTGCTCCATGCTCCATTTAGGACAGCCCTGCAGAAGCTGTTCTCACCTAGATGATGACTAGCTCTTGCTCAAAAGCTTCTGTAGCACCCTGCATTTTGGCTGTCAGCATCATTGCTCCCAGGTGTCCCTGGCAGCTGCAAGGAGAAGGGCTGACAGGCCATCTAAATCACTGGGGGTTTATCACAAGGCAGCCCGAGCACAGCTACTAATTGCTTTGATTTTACAAAGAAGAAAGATAAGCAGAACAAGCTGGTGGCACAGCCAGGCAGGATGACCCACAAGAGGAAGCAAACTGAAGAGATAAGAAGGGGGAACAAGATGAGGATTAAGCAGGACTAGAAGCACTTCAGGGCAGCACTGTCACATGCCCCACCACATAAGCAAAGACATTTCCCTGGGAGCAGATCACCCAGGAGCAGGGTGTTGACAGCCCACACAGTGTACACAAGACTTCACAGCCCCGGAGGAAGTCAGCAAACCTCTTGGCTGSGTGGCCTCTGCCAGGCTCCCCTGCACAGCTGCCTGGCACTGCCCTGKCCCTGCCTGCTCCGAGCACAGAGCTCTCCCCATGCTCCATCAAGGAGCTCTCAGACTGCCCAGACACAGCCTTACCTGCACAGGCACAAGGAACCGAGCCCCAGCTCCTGTCTTGCAGGGCACAGCACTGCTTTGAATGCTCAGGTGTGTTGCAACAAGGGTTTGGTATGCAGGAGGCACAATGCTCCTGCCCTGCCAAGCTGCACCCTGGTGCTCACAACACAGTTTACCCCACCATTACACAAGTGCCTGTCGTTCATATTGATCTTCAGGCTGCTTCAGCTTCCAGAGACAGGATTTGGGAGACCACAGCCAGAGCAAAGCCCAGCTAGACTCCACAGAGCTGAGCTAGAGCATGACAAATATGTGTGTACAGAAGAGGGCTCAGAGCACCAGTACCAGCTTGCCTGATCCTGTCCCACAAYCACCAGGAAGTAAGAGCAGACAGTACTTCAGGGAAAACAGGGTTACCAGGAAGGTGATAATTTGTCAGGCCATCTGATGGCTGGAAGGCATCAAAAGCCAGATGCTTAAGAAAACCAACTCCAAACACCAACATGGCTTAGTGGTACCACTTAAAGAAAGAGTCCAAGCCCCTTCTCAAGACCTTATAGCACCTTCCAGTACCTAAAGGGTACTACTTCTCCAAGAAGGCTGGCAAGCAACTTTTCACAAGGGCAAGCAGTGATAGGACAAGGGGGTACCGTTTTAAGCTAATGAAGAGTGGATTTAAATTGAAAATGAGAAATTCTTTACTGTGCTAGTGGTGAGGCCCTGGAGCAGACTGCCCAGAGAAGCTGTGGATGCCCCATCCCTGGAAGCATTCCAGGTGAAGCTGGATGAGGCTCTGAGCACCCTGATCTATTGGAAGGCACYCCTGCTCATGGCAGAGAAATTGGAGCTAGAAGATCTTTAAGGTCCCTTCCARCTCAAGCCATACTATGATTCACCTGCTCCTACTTCTCTTGTTTCCCAGTACCAGCAGCCAGAGGCTGGCCTRGCCTTGGAAGTAAATATCCAACAGCCTCCAGCTCTTCAGGAGCCACTACAGAACCAGAAGAATGGGGGAAGAGATCCCAGCTGATCTATCTTTTCAGACCACCATCCTCCTTTGCTCTAATTTCAAGCTCTGCTACATCTTGGGGGAAAAAAAAATTAAAATCACCTCATCCACTGCCCAGCAATTGATTGTCCTGAGCKAGAAAGGCAAAACTGTCCTTAAAGCCTGAGCTGAACTCTGCTAAATGCCTGCCTGGTCCTGAAAGCCACTGACATACATCAATAGGTGCCAGGTATTGGTGGCACRATGGAAAGCCTGGATTGGCAAGCACTAGGCTGTGCCTGGGAGCCAAGCCTCCCCAAGCCAGAGCATCAGGAGCAGAGAGCAGCAAGGGAACAATGCAGTAAGAAAGGCCATAGCAAGAGACATGGGAAAGACTCCTTTAAAGCCTTTTCAGCAGTTTTGACCTTGCTGAAAAGGGTTCAAATCCTGCTTGGCTGGACCTGAATGAGACACCAGACCCAAAAAAAAAAAAAAAAAAGGAGAGAAAACTCCAAAGATGGTCACAGACAACTGACATAAGATCAGCATCTCTGCTTGGTGAGAACATGATACTGCAGACTATTCCCAGGCTTGCCAGAGCTGACTCCAGCAATTCCCTTACCCACTGCTCCAGTCATCTGGCAGGGCCTTTCCCTCCTCAAACATCTTGGTGCAGGTCAAGGAGACTGACACCTCAGCGCTCAAAAAAGATCTGCCAAGCAAATTGTGCTTCACACCAGCTGCCCCAGACAGAGTTGCTATGGAACAACCAAGCAATGTTTGCAACACAAAACYAGAGAGGACATTTGATAGGAAGCTTTTGTTTCACCCCTGTCCACACTGTTACTACTGGTGATGAATCCACCACAAGTTAATATAGAAATGCCCAAGGCCAGTAGGGCTTTCCTCAGACCTAAATCAGCAGAAATTACCTTCTAGAAATACAGAAGACCATGGTTTTTCTGAACATCTCAGGACAGTAGAGCTTTATGTCACTTAGGCTAGCTTCGAATTTGGGGAGCTGTCATTTTAAGTATTTGTGGAGCACAAGAGACTACAGTGAGCTACAGAAAACAGAGAAAAGTGTGCAGTCTGTGTGGAAGTGAATATTTACATTCTCTAGGAGAGAGACTGAAGTGAGCCTGACTGTATTATGGGCATACCAACATATAGGTGTGCCACAATACCCAACATGTGAAAATTCTCACATGTCTGGAGACACTGGTTTCACAAAGAGTCTTGTCCATCTGAAGCAGAGTCCCCAGGTCAGGCTGGCAGTTTGAATGGGTTTAGATACGTCCTCAGAGAGTGTGCTCCAAGCCAACACAGCTGTAGAGACGCTGGGACCACAGGAGAGGACATGGCCATCTAATTTACTGTAACTTTCAACCAAGACTATTCTTGCCTCATTCCACAGCCCTGTGATGAGCTCACAAAAGAAGATGCCATTAAGTTATCCTTTCCTTTTCACTGTTCCAGCACTCCTAAGCTTTCAGACTCCAGYTTTTTTTCCTGACCGCTTCTTCTCCCCAACCAGCAAAAAAACCTCAGATCTCCCGCCATTGCTCTGTAACAAACCCCAAGGGTACAGAGACGAATATTGCAAAAGCACCAATTTCCCCCAACCAAGAGGATGAAGAAGAAGTCATGAGTTATTTCCAGTTACCCTCCCCATTTTGAGCAGAGTCTGCAAAATCATTGCCATCTGACAAAGCTTTGGCAAAGTTTCTTGGTTTGCTTTTCTTTTAAACCCAAAACTTCAAGGACTGCTTACTGTGAGATGTTAAAACTGAATGTYCTTATTCAGCCAAGGTTTGCCTTACATAGCTCTGGTGTCATTTCCACACACTTATCCAGCATCCTGGTAGCTAGAGATAAAGCGTGGGAGAGGTTCATGACAAAGCAGTTTCATATTTTCCCTAGTCACATCCATCCCTTTATTGCCAGCATAAGATCATGGTTTGAAGTATTTTCAGTAAAACTCATCCAGGAGAAGACTCCCAAGTCGTTGTGGAGGTGGGAGAGCAGCACAAAAAGCCACACAACACCAGGCAATAACTTTGATCCTCCACCATCAGTACTGATCCTTAGGACACAGGCACTTGGCTGCCTTCCTAAACAGGATGCTTTCTCTTAACCAGATGTGCCTGGCAGTAACACAGGAATTCAAGGAAAATGCAGTAGCTTGTTAAAAGCTGGGTCTTTTCAGGCCCTATTTTTTATCTTCAGGATCAGGTTCCCATACTAGTGCCRCCTAATAATGGAAAAACTTGAATTTTGAACACACAACCCCTGACCCCACAAAAATAAAATAGCATCACATTTTGCTACACTGCAAAAGAAAAGCAAACCCACACTGACCCAGAAAAGTACTCCAAGAGGTATTTAATATTTCCACAAGAGATTTCTACATCATGCATTGTTCAAGGTGCCAGCAGACAGCAGAGATTAACAGCAAAACAAATCAAGGCCGTAGACAACAGGGCTCCCCTTTGCCTGGAAAAGCCCAACACAATCTGAGGGTAGGGCTGACTTCTTSGAAGAGATGAGCTCTTACATCTAGAAAGGGGCAAAAGATGTAGTGTGATGACCTGAGATGAAGTGAAGCCAATTCTGCTCCACCCCTGYTGCCACAGTGCATCCCTGTGGTCTCTCCAGCAGCACGGAGCACACCCTGGATGAGGGCAGCAGCCTGCCAGCTCCCATGCTTGGCCAGSACAGGACAGCTCAGCAAGAGCTCTGGGCTTCAGACCTAAGCCCTGAGTGCCACACCACAGTCACAGTTCCTGCAAGCAACTCATTGTAACAATAATAATAATGTACTTCCTGCAGGTAGAGCCAGCACTGCCTCCCAGGAGCTGCACAGGTGTTACACACCAGCATCTCTTTTCACTGATCCTCTGAAATACTTCAGCATGGAAATTTGGTGTGGCAGAGAACCCAGTCTCTGCTTCTCAGAAAAGGGGTGAGGCTAATTGCCAGRCTCCCTTGTGCTGAAAACAGCCTGAACATAGCCCAGCAGAAGGAAAAGGGCTTTGCAGGCAAGAGCAGGTACTTTGAATGAAAGCATCATGACTTCCCAAAGAGCAATAAATCTACAAGGTGTCTGGCCTTTGAGAGAGATTAGAAGAGAGATAAAGAGAAATCCACCAATCCAGACAGCTTTGTATGTTTTTACTGAAGGYAAATACAAAAACTTATTTGGTTGGATCAAAGAAAGCATCAGCACAGGGCAGCAGATAGATGGAGATGGCTGCAAGTTCTACTAGTTCCTGTGGCACCAGAAGGCCTGCCAGCAGCCTCATACCCTCCACACACCACTAACTCAGTCTGAGGAACTCCCRCAGCAATGCTGGGGCTCTGACCCTCTTTCCCCTCACACCACAGGAGGGACCTTTCCATCAGCCAACTGGAAAGATACCACAAGTACGGCTGATATCAGATGAACAATCCCTTCAGCTCAGCCAAGAGGGAGAATTTAACTTGTGAAGCCAGAAGACACCAGTCACCCTGCTGTTCCTAGTTCACCACGAAGAAAAGAGCTGCAGCTGGCACTGGTGATTGTGGAAATAGCAGCTAACACATATTACAGTCAGTTGCCCCTTATAGAGGCCCATTGAAGAGGAAGCAGATCTGTTTCAGCTATTCAAAGCAACATTCCCAGAAAACACTGAGTCTAGTGTGGGTCTGGCATTTGTTTCTGAGGTTTGTGCAAAGCCCAGACTCTGTATGAAATCAAAACAACAGGAACAGCTCAAGTCATKGCAGAACAAGTCTTTACTTGACTGYAGTTATCTAAAAACCACCCCWCCGCATAACTGTTGGTGGCAGAGAGGTTTGGAGCAGCCACTCCTTCTCTGACTGCAGCTGCTGGATAACACAGCAGCTCTGGAACAGCTTTGCCACCAAGAGTAAAACATGGCAAGTGTTACCACAGGGTGACTGCAGCAGCAGGCAAGGGTCTAGAAACCACCCCTGACTGCTGCCAACACAATCCTGACACTGTCACCCTTCAGCCTCTTCCTGGGTATGTGTCTGCAGCACCAGAGGATACATTTTGGACATATTCCAAAGTTTCTCTTTTYCTGACATGTTCTCTCAACATAGCCTAACTTCTGTGTTATCATCCCACCACCACTATTCTCATCTTCCCAGTAACCACTGCAAGCTGCATTTGTGTAAGATGTCTTCCTCACCTGAGGTTCAAATCTATGACCTGGGTCTCAGGATCACAGCCACCATATTTTTTCTCATTTAAACCCTTTTCCAGACACAGCTCTGTATCTAGACACGCCTCCTTTTTTCTTTAGTTGAGCATGTTTTAATCTGTACTTCGTAGTGTTCAGTCCTAATGATCCCCTCCRTGTTAAAACACAGCCTGCACAAACAGACCTGCTCCTCCTCTCTCTCAGTTCATCGCATATCCTTCATCACCATCCACACACTATCTTCCTCAAAGAAAAGACAGCAGTATAGTTTGTTCAAGCTTCTAAATTGGGAGGTCCTGGTTGAGCCCCCAGCTGTTCCCCTTCAGACTGCAGTGCTAAGAGAACAGACTCGGGACACTAACTTACATTAACCACACCAATAAGTCAACTGAATTATTAACAACCTCATTAATACACCATTTCCATTTCATGGTTATTTACATCACTGTACACACAGCTATGAAGCTACTAATCGAGTCTTATGAACCACACATGATGCTGTTGAGTCACCCTTCCCTCCCACACCACTTAGGATGCACATCTATCCCACTTTGCTCTGCCCTCCCACAAGAAGCCTTTCCACCATAGACCTGATGCAGAGTCCAGCRGGTTGTTCAAGGAGCATCACTTCAGCATTCCAGCAGCCTTGGGTCCTCARGTTTCACTATCCTCCTTAGATGTCTGCACTCCTTCAGTCCACTGATCTCACCTTTCTCTTATTCTATACATCATTTTCTCATTTCAGGATCCACTTTTTCTGCCACATTCATGCCTCCCTTACKCCAGTCTCCTCCCAGAGACAACAAAACAAATCCTCCCAATCCACCCCAATTATTTCTTCCTCATTGGTTCTCAGTTTTTCCACAGTCATAACTAAGCCTGATACTTCTGATATCGTTCCCTTGGCAATCTCAGCCTTACATGGTATTATTGATATGGCAAAGGTGGCCTTGAAAAGYTTTACCCTCCAAGAGCTGCTTCAGACACTCCATAATTATCTGGTTCCTCCTGGTTATGTATTGTTTACTTTACACACTCCAAGACAAATAATTCAATTCCAGCCTTAATTCCCATGCTCAGCTCCAGTTACCTACCAGCACTTTCTTATCTTACACACAGACAGTTTGCATAGCAGAGCAACATGTTTTGCACTTCCACAGCATCCGGCTCTCTCAGCTGCTTGATTACGAGTCTTTGTCCTTGAAGTGCTCTTGGGAGAGTCTCCTAATGTCCTGCAAAGGCCTTAATTAACATTCAGTCTGGTTCTCCAGAAGGAGTTTGTGCCCAAACTCCTTGTGTGTTTTCGGTGGGAAACACACACATCAGTATCACAGGAAACTATTTACATTTTAACTATTTATTCTTTAAATACAATTAGGTCCCATTTCCACATATCCTGCATCGAGCATGGCTATGCAGAAGTACAGCAGCACAATCTTATACGCTTGCACTAAGTCTTCCCAGGGGACCAACACCCTAAACAGGATGTTGTAGGACAGGACAGGAAAGATATTCCAGACTTTGGGGTTGTATTACATACAACATACCCCTTTAGCATATGAGGGGGTTTTCTGTTACAAGAGCAACACGCACTGCAATTCTACAGTAAGTTCAAATATCTGAGCTAGAATTACTCACGGGAATACTGCTCTTACTGCATCCCCAAGGCAGACAGCTGCAGCATCTGCTGGTCTACAACTTTGTAATAACTTCAAAAAAAACCAAAAACAACCACAACTACTTTCTGTCATGGTCTAGACAATACAGAACACAGCTCACAGGTAACATTATTGATTTTCTTAAATGGGGACTCAAAAGAAAATCTTGTGTTTCCAAGAATACAATAATTCATAAAGGTTATTCTGTGGCATTTTTTCCAAATCAAAGTGTTTAAAGGCTGTCGTCACACAGCAATAACAATTTACATTAGTATCTTTCACAAGCAGGTGGTGCTACAAATGTTACAGGATAGAGYACCGGCATGAATCAATATCCCCACCAAGTTTTACTACTGTACRTGGACTTGCATCCATATAATCAAACAGCAGATGGTTTTGGGGTGGGAGAAGCACCAACTCCAGAGGGATTTGCATTTTCAAAAAGCCAGGCAAAGTGCACGACGCCTCAGTTGTACACTGCTCTGCTACTGCAAACGTTTAAGCTAGTACATAACTGCAGAAACATTGCAAAACAGATGAGTTTGTAAGTGCAGAAGACAGAAAGACATTTACTGGGTGTGCATGTACTCACATCCTGAGAAAAGRCAGCCAAGGGAATGCCTTCACTTAGCCAAGGAGCAGTAGGATGTACAACCTGATCTTAGGAAGGCAGGTTACTTTCTACAGGCTTTTACTGAAGGACACATACAGGATAAGGAGATGCCATAAAATACTGCATTATACCTTGTGGAAGTTTTCCTGTGGTAGCYAGGGCTACAAAACCTGCCTGAACCTGCCCTTGTACCTAAAGACAACAACAGGAAGCTCATTCCTTCAGCAATTACGYTACATGCTCAGACAAGGATCAAGAGTAGAGGACACAGGTAAAGAAACAGCTGAAATCAGCACATAAAGCCAGTATGGGAAAAACCTCAAAAGCACTCACCAAAACTTCAGGTTCTTTCTCAAGTCAGCAAAACTCTATTAGCAAAATCACAGAAGTGTAAACTTTAAAGCAACAAACTGGTTAACATAGATATGAACCCCCCCTCTTTTCCCTTACTTTCCCATAAATTTTTTGCTCACACTCACCTCCAACTAASCTGGTATTTGTACTCACAGCCCATCCAGGCTGTAATTAAGTAAGAAGCTGTATCATTGGCTCCCATCAGCACCCCCTTATTGTGAGCACCTGTTCTGTGGTGGGCCTTTACAGAYAGAAATCTCCACAGGAGTTTTAAATGGGTGACTGCATCTGCAAGGTCAGCACATCATCGCCCAGCACAACAGCAGCAGCAGTGCAGCTCCTTTGGGATGCTTAGTGATTCCATGATCTTAGAGTTCTYTTCCAAACTTAATGATTCTTTGATTAGTGCCTTATKCCTTGCTCTGCTGCAGGTGATCCCTATAGCTGAAGTTAAATACCTACAAATCACTTTTTAATTACAGACCATGTTGATTACAATTAGTTGCCTGGCTTCTAGGAATTTGTAAAGATGACCTGCTTAAGAAGCTACAAGTCTGATGTTTAAAAACATTGATAAGTAACAGGGTGCAATAACACCTATTTGTTCATAGCAATTGGCTTTTGTCTCAGTTTTCTAAGGTGAAATTTCCCCAGGTGAAATTTGAGAATAGCTGAATGGAGCAACTGCTGCAAGTGAGAGATGGAAGGTGATGCACATGCTTAACACAGGAGTTGCTTCTTTGAGAGAAGGTCCCGCAGAGAGATCTTAAATGATAATATACAGTGACAGTCCCTATTTTCTGAAATACATGGCATGAATGGAAATTAATTGTGGGAGAGAAATGTAAGTAGCTGATAACTAAAACCAGAGACAGGACATTTGCTGCATTACTGCCCSCTGCCCAAGCAATGGTGTACATATTTTGTTTCCACTCTGTCATTCTGCAGTTTGGCACACACTGCTTGGAGAAGAGGAGGCTCAGGAGGGGCCTCAGCACTCTCTACAACTCCTGACAGGACACTGTGTGGGGTGCAGGCCCGGCTCTTCTACCGCGCCTGCAGTGAAAAAAACAGAGGAAATTGCCTCAAACTGGGACAGTGGGATTCAAATTAAATATCAGAAAATGTCTTTTCGCTCTTCGAGTGGCCGGGCATTGGAATTGTTTACCCAGGTGGTGGAGTCGCCATCCCTGGWGGTTTTCAAGTGGCCTCTGGATCTGGCACTGGGTGATATGGTTTAGAGGCTTAGGGTGGTGCTGGGCTGGCCCAACATTGATTTTATCACGATTCCACGATTTCTTGACTCCAGGAACCAGCGTCCCGGGCCCGGGCGCGTTTCCATGGCGACGGGAGGACGGACCATAGAGGAGGCGCTGCCGGCCCGGCCAGAGCGGCTCGGGCGGATGTGGGCGGGGCTATGCAAATAAAAGAGCGGGGCGACCTCACACGAAATGGCTGCCGGGAGTTGCCGGCAACTTCACTTGCCAGTACGCAAAATGGCCGCGGGGCGGGGCTCGGACCGGAGGGGGCGCATGCGCGGCTGCGCAGTGAGGCGGCGGAGCGCCGTGGAAGCGCCGGTACCGGACGCAGGTAGGAGGCGCCGAGGGGGCGGGAGGGCGTCTCTTCTGCCTCATTGCCACCCCCGATTTGTCTCCCTGCCTGCAGGGTAGTGGGGGATCCCCTATCCCCTCAGTAAGGCGGTTCGGCTGAGGTGGGAGAGACACCGTTCCCCCCTTTGCGGGGTGAGGGGTTCCCCCCTTCCCTGTAGTGGTAGAGCCCTAGCGGGTACTTCGCTCCGTTATCGTGGAAGGTCCCACTTTGGACCAAGGGGTGCCCTGGCTCCCCTGTGGATAGGGGGCTCGGTCCTGGAGCCGGTCGGGGTCCGGCACCCGGCAAGGAAAGGCGGCTCTGGCATTGCCTTCTCTCCCTGGAGTGTGCGGCGGATATCTGGTGTCCCTGTTACACCTTCCGCTCACCTGGGAGGCATCAACCCACTGCCGTGGAGCCTGCGGGAGAGCCCGCCAGGGAAGGATGGCATTGCCTCAGGAAAACCCGGTAGGGAAGGATGGCAGTGCCCCTGCCCGGCCACCCCTTCCTCTCGGAGGGCTGCCAGGTCTCCCTCAATGGGGAGTTTCCCTGCGGATGTGGCACAGGGGATGGCAGCGCTACTTGGGCCTGTCCTAAGTGACGGTGCCCCCAACTGCAGCTTGGCTCTGCAGGAATCGCCCTGTGCTCCTGTCCTGCCGCTGGGACACCAGCAATTTGCASTTGGTAATTCACTGCTGTGCTTTCCAGCCGTCAACGCCCCAGAGATCCCTGCTGGCCTTGGCAGCTGGGATTCTTCCAGTCCTTCATTCAGTGGCGTGTGGCCTTGTGGCTGCAGCTGGGGCCCAGCAGGGGGACGGTGGTTTTGGGAGGTTTGCACAGGTGAAGAGWCTCCCTGTTCCCGGGAAGATGTGTAACACAAACTCCTGCACTTGGTGGTGAAGTTGCTTCTCACTTGGTGCTTTCTGTTAAGTCTTAACAAAGAACAGGCAGTRTCTGTGCAGTAATCCTCTCTTGTASCTTCTTTGATACCACTCTTGGGYGTTATTTTCAATGACGATTTAGTATTTGCTTCTGGRTTTGTAACTTGAGGCCAGAATTACCTTGGCAATAGTTCCCATCCTAGTGCTGTGATGTCCTCTACAGGATTAGAGCTCATATTGACAGCAAATGATGGGGAACTATTTTTTTAATACATCGAACACACTTCCTTTACACTGTAAAACAATGATTTGTTTAGATAYGGGATGTCATGTGTTGTTAACTTAAAAGCCTTGCCAAGTTCCAAGGCTATGAGGTCTGTCCAGTTATCTCTATTGACAAACCTTGTGTTCTTGTTAGGGAATGAGATCTGATTGAACAAGATTGCTCAGCTGGAGCACAGCTCCATGGAAGCTACCAGCTGGTGCAAGGTGTTAATTGTCTGTGGCAATTGTGTTTGCCTGTATGAGCTCAGCAGGACTGACAGAAGCACCTGATGGAAGCACATGATTGCTTGTAATAAGAAGGGTATTACATGGTACACGATCATCWGTGGCTGTTGAATTGGTAAACAGTACTGAAAAATGCCCTTTTAGCCTCTTCCAGGCATGTTTCCATGCCTGATCCAGGTGGTTTTAAAGGTTTCATTGCTTCATCCTTCAGATAYCAAGCTGCTGGGAGCCTGCTGTTGGGGTGTTTGTTCATGTTTCGTGTTCGGCCTGGACTCCTTGTTACTAAGTGGATTATCTGAGGGTGTTAGGATTTCAGAAGTATGAAGTAGAGAAACTGAGAGCTTTGGAGCTATGTTCATCTCTAAGAGGGCACACAAGATCAAAGTTTAGTCAGAGCAGCCTAAATTTTGTGGAGTGTCTACCTAGGAAGCAGCTTTCCTGGGATAGGAATAGGATTTGTAGAGGGATTTTTTTGTTTGAGTGGGGGATCTTTCACATGTTTCATTCATTCAGTTAGCTTTGTGGAGGGATTTCTCATTTTACTGGCAGAGCTCTGTCAGAATCCAAGTAGCTTTGTGGGGTGAGGGCCCTCTGAGATATCCTGGGTTGTGGAGGTGTCCTGGGGTACCATGCATGGGGGAGAAGGAGTGTGTAAAACCTGGTCTTTGCTCCCAAAATGGGTTCATCTCTGATGGATAAGACTGACCACACAAAGACATCCATGACTSTCACTTGCAGCATCTGGGAAGGAYTSATGTCTCCAGCACCAGGCCTTTTGCTGGGACAGGTCACAGGGCATCMGCTCTTTCACAGGTGCAGCTCCAGCTGTGAAAGCTTTCCTGTGAATGGGGCTGGGCTGCCAGCAGCCCAGTCCTGTCTGGCTGTGACCAATGTCTATAATAGGGTCCCCTCTCAGCTGGTGTTTCCAACTGGTGGGTGGATTTATTGTGTGGCAGTTACAGCGACACAGAGTTGGTGTATTTGGCCCTCTGTTATTAAACCTCTAAAAACCCAGAATATGCASCAGAGGCAGTGTAGTGGCAGCTCAAGCAAGCATATCTTGAAATATTATTTGGGATATTCCAGCCTGCATTACCCACACAGTGGAGAATGAATACGAGAGTCATACTGATACTGTGGTCAGTCTGCACATGGCTGTTTTAGGTTGCTGAGTGGCAACTTCAGCACATAAAAGTMATCTGGCCCTGCTTAAAAGGCTGTCTTGGGCCAAGATTCACATGTATGGCTCTGCTGCTGGCTCAGTACAAGTGGCTTCAGCTGTGGAAGGCTGGAGCTCAGCCTTGTTGCAAGGCCAAAGCATTGCCGAATCACCATGGGACGTGAGGACTCGTGAATCCAGCTGTGAGCTGGCTAGGAAGTTAGAGCAGATGTGCGAGCCCCGAACTGTGGTGTGTTCCAGACACAGCTGTGCCAGCACTCTCAAACAAAAGCAGTGCTTTCCTGGTAGTCAGTATTCCAACATCCTCCTCAGGAAGATAAGATCTGTGGACGTCACTGGCAGCAGCCAGATGTCAAATGTGGAGGAGGAAGTTTCCCAAATAAAGGCTCATTGCTTTCTAATTTATGAGCTTGTTGCTTTATGAGTGTGTTAGAAGTACAGCAAGAATGAATGATAGTTATTCCCTCCTGCAGCTCCTTTTCCCATTACTTCTTACAGCCTCCTGTTGAAAAGTTCTGACATACTCCATGAATAATTCTCCATCCCAAGGAAAAGGTTATGAAAATACCAATGTGGCAAGCTTGAATAACAYAGTGCTTTGGGTGTAGAAGTAAAACCTGCTTTTTACAGACAGCTGTGATTTGTTTCTTTTTAACTGCACATTTGCAGATGGGGAGAGAAAAATATCTCAAATGACCTAATGACTACCCTAGGAAAAGTGACATCACTTTCAAATAGCTGGCTGGAGGGGTTGCACATCTGTGAAGGAGTGATGAGGGGCAGAAAGAAAGGAAGTGGAACTTCACCTTCTTTGAACAGCACTGTAGCATATAAATGACAAAATGAGGTGTCTCTGGAAACTTCAACAGCTGTGGTTTGTGCAACAGTGAAGCATCGTTTAAATGGGAGCAGCATGAAGTGCAGCACTAAGAGCAAGGTTTGAGCATTTCACCTTTCAAACAGGTTTTGGACAGCAAAGGCAAGCCCAGCATAAAAATCACCTTACTGGGTCACACTGCTGGTCTGTCTCTCTCCATATCCTGCCCCACKGTGGCAGCAGGAGATGCTGTTTAKGGGGAGAGTGCCTGAGCCTGGGCACCATCTGTGGCCTTTCCACTTGTCCACCCCCAGCCTGCAAGGCTGGTTTTGGGCTGCTAGAGCGGATTTCCCTGCCTTGTTTCCTTTAGTAGCTGTTTGCTACAGCTGTTTACCATGAATTTGTCTAATCCTTTGAACCTGYTGCCCAGCTCTGTAACATCCTTTGGCAGCAAATGTCAGGTGTTTACTGCCTGCCAGGTAAAGGAGTTTTTCGTGTGCTTTAAACTGATTTCCTGCTGGTTACAGTGTGTGTTCCCAGTTCCTTTGCCCTGACAGTTCCATGACGGGGCTCAGCACTCTGGTGTCTTCATCTGCTCTTCATTCAGTCCTCCACAGAAGGCTCTTGGTGAGAGACAGAGGACTTACCTGTGGGACAGATGGCTTAACTCTGTCTTCTTCTTAACCTTTGTCTTTACACATCATGATTCCTTTCCAATCTCGACCATACAAAATGAAATTTCCCCTTGAGGCTTGTCTGTCTTTAATTACATCTATAAAGGTTCATTTTCTGGCTGAATTCCCTTGCAAGCCGTGTCTTCCTTTTATCTGGCCATGAGTTTTGGCCTGGCAGGGATGCAGAATGGTGGCGGAGCTCCACAAGGGCTCTGCAGTTGGATCCAGTTGAGGTCTAGTGCTTTGGCTGGGAGTGGAGCTGATGTACAGTTTCAATCTAGTGATGTAATTGGTTGGAACAAATGCTATTCCTGCTCCTTCTGAACTAGTTATGAGGAATTCCTTGGCCTAGAAAGAGCAGATGGTTATTTTTGCTTTTCTAATCTTGCCTAGAAGTGGTCAGACTCATGCCTTCAGGGAAATGCTGAATGGGATTGGCGTTTCATCAGTTTCATACCCAGACGTTTATTCTTCGGCTTTATCTTCTGCTTGGACTTGCTGCAGCTGGTGTTGCAAGCCCAAGAGGCTGRTGTGGTGTGTAGGTTCCCATTTCCTATGTGTTCAGTCTTATCCCACATTGTGAAGCCCCCACGATGTGTCTGAGTCGTGTGAGTGCAGAACCTSGAGGGCTGAAATGAGAGTGACTCGCAGCCTCTTATCTTGCATTTGACAGCGCCAAGATAACAATCTTGTTGTCACCCTTCATGTGTGTGCTGTGAACAGGGCTTTTCATGATGGCACTGGCTGGGGGAGCTGACTTGTATTAATTTAAGAAATCCTTATGTTTCACTTAAGTGCCTTGTGTTTTGCCTTTGGTCTGTAACAACTGCAGTGTGAGAAAGAGCTCAGCCTCAAGCACAAGAGAACATTTCTGCCCCCACCTCCTGGCCCTGAGCTCCSGTCAGTGCAGGTGTGAGGAGTCCTCCCCTCACACTCAGCTCCTTAAGAACATACAGTGACTTATTCTGGTCTAAGGCTACTGTGTCCATGTGTTTTATTTCTGTGTATATTTCTGTCCAGCCAAAACATCTTTATTTCAGACTATGGTCCTAAGATTTAGGTCTCCCAGACAGGCTGGACAGYTGCTAATGGTACTTCTGGTCACTTTTATTGCATGGTGGCAGCGTGTCTGCTGCAGTTGTGTTCTGATYGTGTCTCTTCATGCCACAAAGCAGCAGCACTGCTTGCCATAAATAACTCCTGTCTGAGCGAGCCCAGGTGCAGTCAGCTGTGACTGCTGGGGGAAATCAGTGTGCACGTGTGAGGTTACATCACAGGTGTTGTCATTTTTATTTGGGTAAAAATTTACATTAGTACCTAAAAATACCAGTTGGCTAGGTTTGTTTTCTGAAGGCTGCTTTGTTTTTTGCAGCTATCTAGCTTGATTCCTCCTGCGACATTGCCTTTAAAGAGCTGGATTAATCGTCCACTTGSTGGATAACAAAGAACATTACAGGGTAAAGGACAGGGCAGGCTGCTCAGACRTACCCCCAGGAGCCCACAGCCTGGCTTCAGCTTAATGAAACAGCTTTAGTGCAGCAGACAGCTTCTAGTCTCTTAAATCCCCTCCAATCCACTTTGCAACAGCTCCTCAAAGCAATATGAATTSTGATCTCTGCAGACAAAGATTTACCAATTAACTTGATTCAACTGTTACTTCATTTAAGAAACTGAATCTGTTTTCATTTTGTTTTATTCTTTTTTTCTCTCCTGCAGGAGCAGCAATGGGTTGGCCCCAACAAAGATATAATAGGTGTTGGGAGAAGACATCTTATCTGAAATGGAGGTGATTGAAGGAGCTGAACACTGACTGCACCARCATGGGGCTGCGACTGCTGGCTTGTCTTTTCCATTTGCCCACTGCTGTGATCTACGGGTCCCTGTCGCTCTTTGTTTCCATTTTGCACAATGTGTTCCTCCTATACTACGTGGACACCTTCGTCTCTGTTTACAAGATTGATAAACTGTCCTTTTGGATAGGAGAGGTTTGTTTTTTTCTATAGGCTTTTGCCCTCTTAAGTAAGAAACTGAAACCAAGAYTCCTCCTTGCTAGAAATGTAAAAACTGTGTAGTTACAACAGCAGTGTTCCCTTTTGGAGAGGGAGCAAGGGAGCCTTCCAAGTGCTAACTTGGGCTTTTCAGTTTTTCCCACTTAAATAAAAATAGAACAAGCTGGGATAGAAAATGCAGAGACTTAGTTCTTATGATTGCCTTTCTTCTGGGGATGTTGGGTTGTTTCACAGGCAGTGAAAACCACTGGTATTACTGCCAGTTGTCCCAAACAGGGGCATCATACAGTGGTGATGGGGCAGGGAAGGTGCACTGGGACAGTTCCTGCTGGTGGTTCACTGTGCCAGCTCACTGCTTGCTTCAGTGACAGAACTGAGCTGTCCAGTGTCATTTTTCACCGTCCTGTTTTCTTTCCTAGACAGTGTTTCTGATCTGGAACAGCCTCAATGACCCTCTCTTTGGCTGGCTGAGCGACCGAGTGTTCCTTAGCGCACAGCAGTAAGTGAAATTCTGCTTCCACATGAGTCTGGGAAGCTCTCTAGTCTCTGGGGAATATGATGTCAAATTGGCAGCTTTACARTGATGGCATAGGAATGGTTTCTTGGGCATGGAACCCTTAAATGCCTCCTTTTCATGGCGTCTTTGAAGCTCAGTGCTTATGAATGTTGTTTCATAACCTGACAATATAGAGAAAGTCATATACCTATTGGGTGGATTGACCCTAACCCTTAAGAGTCATGAATAGTGCAGAACCTAAAATACGGGCATCTAAAATCTCAAGCCCCTGCTATATGAACAAATCTCTTACAGGGAGATAGTTTGGGAGGCACAAGGGGGAAAAATAGTTATTTGCATAATGAATGCCTCAAATCAGTTGTTCCCAAACTCTATAGGATGGGAGCTGAGGCTGTATGGTTGGGCATTAGCATTTCTCATGTATTTACATCAGCATGTTAAGGAAAATCATGGTGTGGCTTCCCGCAGCTAGTAAAAACTCATGAAAATCACTTATATTGCGCAAAGTGCAAATGGTACACACTGTCAGGGAGAGAAATGCTCTGGGGAAAAAAAACCACCTTTTTTTTTGGCCTTCTTAAGCCCATATTTTCAGTATATTCACTATTAGCTGAGAACATAGCTGATGTGGGTGGTTGTTATTTGAACAAAAGCTGTGCTTGTGTCTATGACACTTACATGACTTCCTTGGAGAGGAAGAAAATGTGATCGTGCAGGGGTTTATCCAGGTACCTAAAACCTCTTTTTTCCTTCTGTTGCAGGGCAGGAGCAGAGATTTCCTCCCCTGAAGTAGTTCTGAAGAGGCTCAGAGCACTAAGCCACAATGGCCCCCTGTTTGCCATTTCTTTCCTGGCTTTCTGGGTTGCTTGGGCTCATCCTGGTTTGCAGTTCCTCCTTTGCCTTTGCATGTACGACAGCTTTCTCACCATGGTCGACCTYCATCACAATGCCTTGCTCGCAGACCTGGCTGTTTCAGCAAAAGACAGGACTAGCCTCAACTTCTATTGCTCCCTCTTCAGTGCCATAGGCTCCCTGTCTGTCTTCATGTCCTATGCAGTGTGGAACAAGGAGGACTTCTTTTCCTTTCGCATATTTTGCGTCCTGCTGGCCCTTTGCTCCATCGTTGGTTTCACCCTGTCCACACAAATGCTCCGCCAGAGGTTTCAGACTGATGGGAAAGCAAAATGGGACCAGGAATCAACCCTAAAAGAGTAAGGGTCACCAGTTCTCAGCTGGGGCAAATGCATAGATCTGCAGCAAACTAAATGTGTGAAAAGATCCAGGATGGGGCAAAATTTGTTAATCATCTCTGGTTCTTGTCTGTTGATACAGTTTTCAGGATCAGCTGTCACACTGGCTCCTTTGAAAATAGAACAAAACTCTTGTATCACCTCTGGTCCAAATTGGAGGCAGAGGCCTGAACTGCTGTATGGCTATCCAGTATTTGGAAAATGAAATGAGTTCATGTCTAGAGTACCCAGTTAGGCCTGTGAGTGGTAAAATATCAGAAGCATTGCTGCCCRTGCCCTATGGAGTTGGACAAGTGAATGTTTCACCCTGTTACTCACTTTAGCTGCCTGATAGTGACTGGGCTGTTGGTAGGCCACACCAAGCTGATTTTTCTTGTTCAGTTCCTTCCTCAGGCTGCCTCACTTGTCATCTCTTGTTATGGGCTGTCAGCATTAAGCTGTAGCAGCAGCAGATCCTGATGTGATCTGCCAGGTGAGCTAACTGCAGGGACCTGGAAAAGTAGCCTATATGTAGTGGAATGGCTAATAAGGGGAGAATGCATTTATTTATATAAATGCCCATTATCGGAAATGTACATTTTGTGTTAAGAAGACACATGTTCTTTGGGAGACCTGTTGCCTGTGCTTCTTGCTAGCAATGAGCAGTCATTGTTGTAGACTGCTGTTTTGATTTGGTCCAGGAAGACAAAAGGCTGGGATGGGAGCTGAGGAGAGACAGCTCTGCACCTACATGGGGAGTGCTGTGGACTCTGTCCTGCATGGTGTGAGGAATTTTTGGTTGYATTTTATCTCTCCTTTTCTTTTAGGCTGTACATTGAGAAACTSTCCGTCCCCCAGGAGAAGCGGATCACCCTGGCAGAGTATCTCCAGCAGCTCTCCAGGCACCGCAACTTCCTCTGGTTTGTCTGCATGAATCTCATCCAGGTAGGCACAGCAGTGACACRCTATGATTCAGAGGATGAGTGCTGGCTCTGGCTGTTTAAAATGGTGAKTCAGCAATATGAAAGTTCCCCAGGAAGGGCAGAGATGTTTCCAGCACCCACTTGCTCTTGAAGCCTCCTGCACATGCTGGCTGATTCAGCAGCTGGTAGCCACTCTCCCTGCTTGTGACTGAGGATACTTCCTGAGCAAGCTGTGGGGTGCTTCTTCCTCTCTCTGCAGTGTAGGCTGGGTTACAAGGGCTGACTGAGCTCTGTGCAGCACATATGGGGTGCAGAAGCACAGGGCCTGGCTCACAGAGGGGATGAGTTCAGGAGTGCTGTTTGCTGGCGTGGCTGTCAGCACAGTCTCCTTGCCCTTTCCGTTTTCCTGAGGCTCACGTCACTGTTCTCGCTGTCCAGCTGGATCCGCCTCCCAGCTGGCTTTTACCATTCCTGTTCTTCATCGTCTTCAGTGATTACTACCAAATGCCAGCAGCCTGCCCACTTTGTGTGCTGCAGTCATGGCTCTCTGGGGTTCCCTGAGTTCCCCTCAGGCAGGCTCTTGATGCTGGTCTGCATCTTTGTGTTCAAGCCTCAATGCCTTATTCCTGTCCTCCTGCCAGCTGCCTCCTCCCTCCTGCCATGCCACCGTCTCCCCTAAAGCCTTGTGGCCACTGCTGTCACCTGCTGGCCTTGCCTGGCCCAGCAGCATTGTGCTGTACAGCTGGGCAGTGGGGCTGACCCCGGGCATGCAGTGGGCATGGCTGGTGGCATTGCAGCTTTGCAGTCTCAGCCAGCAGTGTTGGAAATGCCACAGCCGAGGTCTTGCTCTGCTAAAGTACTCCAGGCCCATCCTGCATGATCCCTTGGCATGGGGCTCCTAGGACAACAGAGCCCAAAGGGCTGTTAGCTTTTTCTGTTCTTTCTCACTGCTGTCCCTGCTGACCAGCTCGTCTGCATGCTGCCTTCACAGGTTTTTCACTGCCATTTTAACAGCAACTTCTTCCCTCTATTCCTGGAGCACCTGCTGTCAGACCAGATCTCTGTCTCTACTGGATCCTTCCTGCTTGGTGAGTCTCAGGTGGGACTGGAGGGAACAGCCCAATTAGGTGAGGAGCTGGCCCCAGTCTAGATTTGCTCCTCCCAAACTTCATCTGGGGAAAGGTGTGCTCACATGCAGGACTCTGGGCTGTAAGATTCACACATGCACACACCCCACATACTTCCCTGGGACCTCCAAGTTGTCCTTCCTGGGTAGAGAAGTGACTCAGAGCCTTTTTTAGTAATATAGAGTTACTGCTCTGAGCACTACAGGCWGCAGATAGTCTTCCCAGGATGCAGCAGAGAATACAGCCCTTTTATCCCTTTCTTTCTGCAGCATATGGACCATTTCCAAGCTGCCACAGATACGTGGACATTGGTYCTAGAGTTACCGTGGGAGGATTCTGTGCAGGGCATGTCTGGTCAGGCAGTCCTGTCCCTCTCATTTCTATTCTAGGGCTGAGGTGCAGCCTGTGCATGACACTGGGCAAGTATTTTCTTCCATCCTGTCCATGAGGTTGATGGAAGAAGGTCTCCCTCTGTAGGAAAGTGTGTGCTGTGCCACACAGCCGTGGAGTAAATCTGCCATAGCCTTCTTTATGTGCGGGGGAGCTACTCYTTTGTCCTGCTGTCAGTAACCAACCTTGCTGTCTCTCGATATCATGCCTGGGGGCATGGTGGAAACTGAAATTCCTTCAAACTGTTTGTGCCTCTGTCTCTGCTCAGGTGTTTCCTACATTGCCCCCCACCTCAACAACCTCTACTTCCTGTCGCTCTGCCGCCGCTGTGGGGTTTATGCTGTGGTGCGAGGACTTTTCTTCCTGAAGCTGGCTCTGAGTGTTGTCATGCTCCTGGCAGGACCTGATCAAGTGTATCTGCTCTGCATCTTCATTGCCAGGTAGGCAAGCAGCAATTACTTCCCCTGCCCTCTGCCTCCTAGGAAGCAAAATGAGTTGTCCCTTTTTTAAAGAGAGGAATGGGAGGCAGGGAACAGGGGGCAGGGTCACACATTAGCCAYGTGGTTTCCAGCAGTTCTGACAGCATGCGGGGCGGATCACAGCAGAATCGACAGGGCGTCCTGCTGCAGAGCAAGGAAGGCAGCAATATTCAGGAGGGCACAGACCAGCAGGACTGATGGCAGCCTTGGCTGCCTTTGCCAGCTGCTGAGAGCTCCTCTCCTCCTCCATAGCCCTCAGTGTATGCTGCAGATGCCTGTGAGCCACTGGCCTGGCATGTTCTGTCCCCAGGCCTGTCTCTGTGACAGATCAGGACTGATCCGAGGCATCACTGCAGAGTACAAAGGCTTACTGATAGCAGTATTCCTCTCCTGTAACCAGGGCTTCTGAAATTCTTACTTGAAGTGTGGGGAAACCTTTCTCACCCTTGCCATTTTCTCTGGTTATGTTTTCCTGTCATTTCTTGATACCCTTATTCRGTGCTTTGCCTGTTGTTCTGCAGCAACCGTGTGTTCACAGAAGGGACCTGTAAGTTGCTCAACCTCGTGGTCACTGACTTGGTGGATGAGGATCTAGTCCTGAACCGTAGGAAGCAGGCAGCCTCAGCCCTGCTCTTTGGGATGGTGGCTCTGGTCACTAAGCCAGGCCAGACCTTCGCCCCTCTGATCGGCACCTGGCTGCTCTGTGCATACACAGGTAAGGATGTTCCTGGGGAAAGCAGCACGACAGGCCAGACCTGTGAGTTCAGTGTTCTGTGCCGTGTCCTGTGCCCTGGGGGGTGCAATGCTCTTCCAGTCGCTAAGCTGTGCCTGGTCTCTGCATCTCCATGGCCAGTGACTCAAAGAGAATGGGCATGGGTCCATCCCTACTGTCCCCACTCTCACAAACTCTTCTCTGACACCAGGCTACGACATCTTCCAGCGCAACCCCTTGAACAATGTGGTGAGTGCCCAGCCAAGGCTGGAGTCTGCCACGGCCTTGGAGCCAACTCTTCGCCAGGGCTGCTTTTACCTCCTCGTCTTTGTCCCCATCACGTGTGCACTGCTGCAGCTTCTCAGCTGGTCACAGTTCACCCTGCACGGGAAGAGGCTGCAGATGGTGAAGGCTCAGCGGCAGAGCCTGACACAAGGYCAAGCACTAGAGGTCAAAACAATCTAAGGGTGCCTGAGCTCCTGAGGTGGTGTTGGTTCCAGGCTGGTGCTGGAGGGCAGGCGAAAGGCAGCGATGGTGGGCTGAGAGAGCCTAATATTTGCAGTTTATCTGTGAAATGCTGTGATGGCAATGTTTACTCATTCCAGGTGGTGGTCACTGGGAAAGGCAGAGAAGTTCAGTCTTGTGAGGAGCCTGGGATAGATTGCTTGGTCTCAGGAGCAAGAACATTTTATCCCAGCCTGTCCCAGGGAGCAGAGCTGCTCATTCCAGCAAGGAGGTGCTAGAAACAGACATATCCCCAATGCAATTCTCTGCCCTGGGCATGTCCCTGAGGAGCCACAGCCTTTACAGCTGAGCAAGAGACTGCAGTGGGAATCTTTCCTTCTTTCCTAGAGCCTTGCAGTCCAGGGGAATGGAGTGGGAGGCTCTTGAGGGACCAAGGGAATGAATGCCAAACAGGAGCAGGCATGAGAGGACCCTGAAGGCCTTTCCCAGTAACTGGTACAAGCCACCCAAGTACAGTGCTAYGGTTCTTGGACCAAATCCACTCTTAAACGTTTGTTGTTCCCAGGACAATATCCTGCACAGCCAGGATCTGCTGGGTGTGCTGGTTTTGCCGAGGTTCCCTCCTCTGTGGCCTTGTAGAGGGAGTTGTTGCTGGCCTGAGAAAGGTGCTGGGCTTAAATTGAGTTCAGAGCCTTGATCTGGATCATTTCAATGGGCATCCCATTGCATGCACTTATCCCTCCTTCTCTCCAGAGTCCCTTTTATTCAGTGCTGTCACACARCTGTACCATCAGCCCCTTCAAATAATGGGCAAGGTCAGGGAACCAACACCTAATCCAGCCACTGGAAGTGCCTCCCTGCCCAGGGCCATCCCAGGTGACTTGGTGAGGCAGCCCGGCCCGGCCCTCCCCTCTTGCAGGAGAGCACRGCCTGGAGGAGACACCAGGTCTTGCTTTTGTGCCTTTACTTCCTCGTTGGAGCCTGTTTGACACACTGYTGGGCAGTCACAGGGTTGGGATTTTACCCCTGTGGGGAGTGGCAGACCCTTTAGGTCCTCCTCACTTGAAACAGTTCCCCAGAGTTAGATCATCTCACCTGCCTGCTGAGCCASGGACCCGAGGAGAGCAGGTGCTTTGGTCTCCCTGGTTTTGGCTGTGAGCAGATGGGCAGGTGATGACCAAAGGGGTCCCTGAGGCAAGCGACTCCTTAATCTCTGTGATGTGTATGGGGGCTGGCAAAAGGAATGTGCCAAGGCCTGTGACTGCCTATTACAAGAGGGAGGGTTGGCAGGCAGCATTTGGTAGCTGTTGCACGTGGAGGGATGTGCTGTTCTTTGTTTAGTGCCAGGTTCCCTCTGGGGTCTCAGCCCACCAGCCTGCCATCTTGCCTCCGGACACGGCTGCCTTCTGTCTTGGACCAAGACATTCCATGAGACTGCTGTAGTTCTTAATGGTTCAATCATAAGTTATTTGTGCAACTTCTAACCAAGTTTGAGAATGATTCTCCATTTCATAAATTAAAGATGATCTTTTTCTGAACTGCTTGATTGTTTTACTCTAGCCAGTGTCTCRAGCCTGTCTGGGTGGACATGATGCTGTTGGGGAAACAGCTGTGGCTGGGTGGACAACGGGACAATTCCTTCTCTGCAAAACTGCGCTGGAGCTTGGCTGTTTCTGCAGGGGGCAGAGGGGATTGCCTGCCTTTGCGGGGAGGCATCACTGACCCCTGCTGCTTTGGAAGGCCCCAGAGTTAGGACTGTCCTGTTCCTACACCAGTGGCTGCTGGGCATAAGGCTGAGAACAGTTTGATTGGGCACTGTGCCACCTTCCCAGAGCCCACCCTGTGAGCACGGCTCTCTGCAAACACCTGGGCTGGCACCAGCTCTTCTCAAAACAGCAGTGGCATCATCCTTGCTTAGCCCAGGCTATCCTGTCCCAGCCTTTCACCTGTCTGCAGTGACAGACATCTCAGGGATAATGCTTGYAGAGAGTAGATTTGGACATCACAGCTGCAGCCCAGGCAATCTCCTCCCTCAAAAGCCAGGCCAGGAATGCAATCCTGGATCAGAGATGGTGTCTCCTTGGAGAGTCTGGCCAGCAACAATTCGGCACAGGCAAGAGAAGAACACAAGTTACCTCCTTAAAATTTCAAACGTGGGAAGAGGAGGTCAGGAGGCTTGAGTGTTGTATATGAATGACTTTATTTAAGTATGCTGGGCACCACCAGGCAACATGGTTTGGACAGTGTGCGAGGGAACAGTCAGGCAGACCAAACAAACGCTAGATTGGAGACAGCACCGTCCTGCCCCGTTACTGCAGGTTACAAAATGGAGCACTGCTGCTGCAAGGCCAGYGGAGGGGCTGGGGGTTGGAGAGCACTGCCTGGGGCACACAGTAACAGAACCGAGAGGAATTTGCTGGAATTCCACTCTGTGTGCTGCAGCAAACCAGCAAGAGCAAAACTGGTTTCTCAACAAGGCTGAGCATTGATGGCTCTTTTCTGGCACGTTCTTGCTTGAAAAAGTCTGCTCTGATGGAGACAGGTGAATAAGCAGCCTGGCCTCAGCAGGGAGAGACCACCCCACCCACCCACCTGCCTACAGCCTCTCCAAACCCATAGGTGAGCCCAAGAATRTGGTTCCTGCAGTGGCAACTGGCTGCTGCTTACATTCATCTTAGCTGGGGCAGTGCATTGGCCTTTCCCTCACCTCTGTGGCAGTCCTCTCTGCACCTGAGACTGACCCCAAGGTGATGTGTGGCGATGAACAGAAAGGAGGGAAACAGAGAGGAACTGCCACCAAGCAACTCCAGCTCCATCGCTACTGCCAGGTTCTGCAGAAAACTAATGGGGAAAAAAAAAGAGCACCGAATAATGCACAAGTAAAATCTAAAGGGGAAACAGTGGCATGCTCCAACASAAGCAGGTCTGCAGGCTGCCCAGGGCTGTTAGAGCAGTAGAAGCAAAGCAGCCAGCAGGTGAGCAGAAAGGCACCGCAGTGCARCGGAACACAGCCAGGACAGCTTCCTGTTCACAAACCTGCCACTCACACTGACCTCTCCGTGTGCCTTATTGTCCTCTCCCCTGGTGCATTCCCAGTGACAAGCGAGTCCCCGCAGAACAAGGATGGGGTGGTGGCRCAGGGCTGGCCTTTCCACTAAGTGCGGGTGCTGTGCACAGTGCGAACATCGAGCAGCGGGCAGCTGGGCAATAGGGTGTTCAAAGAAGACCCAAAGCATAATTCCCAGGTGCTGTGGTCAGTATTTGAGATCCTCAGACATTTCAATAAATAAAACAGTTTTTACATTACAATGCACCTTCCCAATTATTATTTTGCCCCAGAATGGATAAGTACACAAGAGTTATGCCTGGCTGTGAATACATGCTCCCTTTGCCCTGACATGGCAGGAAGGAGGGAAACAGCCTCGACTCTTACAAAGAACACAAGAAGTCAGCACTGTAAATCTTGGCAGGTTGAGGGGGAACACACAAGTGCCTTCACGCCCATTCCGGGATACTTGCTTCCAGAGGAGAAAAGGTATTTAAAACAAGGTACGAGAGAATAACCGTCTAGTACAATGATAGCTGATTAGATTTGCTTTGTTCTACTCCATGCAATACAAACTAAGTCCTATCGCCAACTTCTCCAGCTGTGGTGCAGACCCCACATCAGGCTAAGTTACACACTCATACGCACACTCACACACCAAAACAGTGGGAGCAAATGGACTTAACTGTTGAGAATGTGCTTTATCTTAATAAAAAATATATTAAAAACAATTCAAAAACCTACTGATGGTGAAGACACCATTGAAGAAGGAAGTAGCTATGGGGCCTCAGCTATGTGTTTCCAGACAATCCAGGCATTGCAGTCAGGCTGACTAAAGCCTGCATGAACAGTCTGCAGTGGTTGGCTCCCTTCTGGCTTGCCAGGCAGTTTCTATAAGCTGTTCCCTTTGTTTTTGCTTATTTGTTTTACAATGACAGATGTGATTGTGATACAGAAAATAAGAGACTGAAATGAAAAAGGAATGGGCTATTCTGGAGAAATTTAGATTGGTATTTTCTCCTTTCCATTAAAAAAAAAAAAAAACAAAACAAAAAAAAAGAAGTTAGTAGTACTAATACAACCCTCCTGCTGCTGTCRTCTTTGCTCAGTGACATCGGGGCATGCTGGCGCACACACACACACACAGGCAGCTCTCAGACACTCAGACTCAGAAAAGCGAGTTTAAGTGAGTCTTCGGAGGAGACTGAGGACAGGTCCCAGGGCTAGAAGGTTTTTCGGTGGATGGCACGAGCTCCATCTTCTTCATATTCCTTTTTCGAAACCCACATTTTCTTAAAGGTGTCCAGAGAGGCCAGGATAGAGCCACTGGGGAAAGACAGGAATGTTATGGGTAAAGGAAAATGTTGGGACTCTCACAAATCTGTAGAGATGGGCTGTTTCTATCGTGACACTTCCCATGACAGAAAGGTGCTGAGGCTCAGTTACCTATGACAGACATGCTCTCTGGACAGTCACTCCCACTCCCACTACCCTCAAACATGCCAGTACTACTGAGCCTGGCACCAGCTGCCCCCTCCCACATGACCGGGTGACTGCTGCTCCAAGAACATGCCAAGCATCACTCAGTGGAGCAACACAACCCCCTTGACACACAGCATCAGTTGGGATAACAACATGAAAGTTGCCAGGCTGTGCCTCCCCAGCCCCATCCCACAACAAAACATGCTGCTGTGCAGCAGTACATACCCAATCCATGTGGAATACAATCTCTCCTGAGGAGCAGATATCTGCAAGAAAGAGAATCAGTCAGTACCTTCCCAAGGTCCAGTCTGCTCCTCCTAGCGCACTGTCCCCACTTCACTCCAGCTAACACCTGACAAATACAGATGTGATCTCTGCCAACAGAAAGACACCTGGCAGTCTCCACAAAAGAGCCACTTTCTCAGTGATAAAACCAAAATAATTTTCATCAGAACAGCAAATGCTGTTGGGCATATGTGTGTTTCAGGAAAGGCGTTTCTGGTTTGAAGTAAATGGCAGCTGCAGTCTGAGCAAGGTTCTTTCAAGGTCACAGAACAACACACTTGGTAAGTGACAAACACAAAAGAGATGGCTCCTACCCTTATTTTGACGTCCTTTGGAGCTAGTTTCTTCACTTCACTCAACAGCCTGTCACCAAAACCTACACAAGGACAGAAAACGTGTAGTGTAAGGATCTCAGCAAAATCCCAAGTTCCATYCACTAACAAAGCGGGCATGTACGTAGTCCTATTCAAATATCCCATTCCACATCTTACAGAAACACTCCAGTCTGGGAATGCACAGAATGCAGACAATAACACAATAGGATTTTGTCTCACTGAGACCTCAAACACTGGCACAATGGGCTCTATTCCTCAGCAGCAACCTGAGTTACGCAAACAAGGTTTTTAGCTAGGACCTCCTCCTCCCCTAGGCATTCGTCTTGTGTCCAACCCATTTGTACAGGGGGTTCAATGGGAAGACAAGGATCTATTTGGAGAAGTCAACCAGTGGATAACAGACTGATGGGTTTTCGCAGAGGGTACCTTTAGGTCACCAGGTACCAACTGAGCCCTGAGGGGATGGGTTGAAACCTTYCTGCACACACATACAGGACTAGGACTGTTTAACTCCCATGTATCAGTAACCTAAAGAAACCTTAGAAGGTGCAAGAGCTTTTTTCAGTATCTAGTCTCAGACATCGTAAGCTACAGCCGCAGGAACGAATGCAGCTATTCAGTCCTGCCACAGGCATTGATTGGAGGAAAACAGTAAAAGCCCTTCAAGTCCAGAAAGTGATGTGTGAAGGCAGAGATGTCTTGCATACTCAGYAGGATACAACTACGACTCAGAAAATTAGGCCGTAAATGCCCTGAGAGCAGAGTTTATACAACCCTCATCCTAGAGGACAAGTTGGGTGATCAGGGTTATCCCTCCCAGTTTGACATGAGAAAGAAGCAAGAGATCGAGTATGGCACAGCACAGTGAAAGAGAAGAGGCAGGAACCTTTGAAAAGCGTGGAGCCTCCAGACAGCACAATGTTGGAGAACAGTGTTCGCCTCAGGTCCATGTCTGACTTCTGAATGGCAAAAACGAGCACTTCATGGAGTCCTTCACATTCCTCCCCTATCAGGTCTGGCCGGAACAGGAGCTCTGGGGCTCGGAAACGAGCAGGGCCAATCTGCAAGAGCAGAAGTTAGCACAGAGGGAGGAGAACAATGTGGCTGTGTTCACTACCTACAGCTGGGCCTGCCTTTCTAAGGTGAAGCATCAAAGTAGTAGAAGTTTCTGGACATTTATGCTGCATCACTAGATCCCAAGCGAATGCCAGTTTAGATTACACCTCCTACAAAGGGCACCATTGCCATTTTGCAGATGAAAGACATGAAGAAACTTGCTAAACCACATACAGCAGGTCTGGCATAAAGGGAGCAAATCTAGCCCTGGTACTGGAGGTAAAACCTGTATTTCCCCTCTTTCAACCATTCTGTAGTGGGCTCAAGCTTCTGAAGAGTATTCCACATTCTTCAAAACAACTGTTTCGGCACAGGAGACAATTCCAGGTAGGAGAAAAGCCACATTTAAACCACTGTTGGATTTAATTAATGAGCTGACACCTAACCACACTCTATACCTGATCTGCACAAACTTTTGTTAGATCAGAGCCTMCTCTCAAACAGCTCAGAGTCCCCATTGTCATGCTGCATTCTTACTCAGGACTTTACTAGAAGTTGTGAGGTTTCTAGTAAAGTTTTCTTTCCCTCAAAATTCTAGTGCCCAGTCAATGGCCCAGGACCAAGTTTTGGTCTTTTAAAACTATCCCCTCCCATCTAACACCACGTGATATTTCCCATCCGGAGATTTTCTGGAAACCCTGTGCTTTACATGAGGAATTCTCCAAAGGTGGTCCTTACAAACCTCAATAGTGCTTCCATCTGGCAGGTAGTACTGAGCCTTCTCAGTCTCCAGAGTCTCATCCTTCTGGGGGTTTATCGACAGGTAGCAGGCACGCTGGTGAGGAAAGAGAGTCAGGGAGAGGAAGATGAGAAAGGTAAACCCAAATGCCTCTGATAAAATATTTTTCTTACTAATAATCAAAAGCCATCTATGTCTTTGAGGAGATTGATTTCAACAGTATTATGTGCAATGGAAAAGACCTTTAGGGCTCACAGCAGGTAAACAACCGTGCAATATCCCTTTTGTGGTCCCTAGCTGCTGTGGATTTTACTCCATGAAGTGAAAACAAACACTAGTGAAAGATATCATCAGACCCTGCAGCACAGGTAAATGCAAAACTGATTCTGAACCACCAGCCCATCTTCACCTCCATGTTAACAGCCCCTCAACAGGGATTAATGTGACTTTAATTCTCCCAGAATATGGGATGGCTGAGGTTGCATATGACCTCTAGAGGTCATCTTGTCTATCCCTCCTTGTTCAAGCAGGATCCTCTAAAGGCTGTCTGGGACCATGTCCAGATGGTGTTACCAAAATGGAATCTCCACAACCCTCTAATCAAACTGTGCCAGCACCTGGTCACCCTCATGCTAAAAAAAGTTTATGTTCAGGCAGAACCTCCTGTGCTTCAGTTTGTGCATCTTGTCCTGTTACTGGGCATCACTGAAATGGCTCTGTTTTCTCTGCACTCTCCCTCCAGACATTTACATACATTGATGAGACTCTACCCAGCCATCTCTTCTTGTGGCTCAACAGTCCAAGTTCTCCCAGCCTTTCCAYATACGAGAGTCCTTTAATCATCTTAGTGGCCCCAGACTCCCTCACACAGATTAATGGATTTAGGTGCAGAGCTACGTAAGCTGGAACTTGCCACCAGATTTCACAAATCACAACTTCCCTTGAGAAGAAATCCCCTCTTGTACAAATACAGAAACAAGGCAGGGCATCACCTCCTTGATGGTCTTGACAATCTCAAACTCAGAGGTTGTGTGGAAGTCATAGCCTTCCTTCCGGAGATAGAGACGCAGGAAGCGGGAGACATCCCGGCCAGCAATGTCAATCCGCATGATGGAGTGGGGCATGGCAAAGCCTTCATAGATAGGAACCGCGTGGGTGACACCATCTCCAGAGTCCAGCACCACTCCTGTGGTCCTGCCAGTCGCGTAGCTACCAAAGGGACAAAGGCTCAAGTCAGAACAAACAACTYAAAGTGAGCCAAGGCATGCAGCACATCCATGTTCAACTCAGGGAGCAGAGATTTCACATGAACAGGGGCTAAAAAACTCTCAAAACCCAAGTTCTGTTCACAGTTCAGCAAATTTCCTGCAAAATCTTTATTAGACAAATTGAGTTTCAGTTCTTGCATGAAAAAGGGGTAAGCCAGACATCAGTGAGGTCTTCCACAGGTTGTTTTGTAAAAGAATGGATGTCACAGCAACATTCCACAAACAGAAATCAAAGACGAAAGACACTTACAGGCTAAGCACAGCTTGCATGGAGATGAATAGCGCTGGCACATTGAAGGTCTCAAAAAACACTTCAGCAGCACGTTCTCTGTTCTTGCGCGGGTTTAGGGGTGCTTCTGTCAGCAGCACGGGATGCTGGGGAAGAGAAGAAGGAGCTGTGCTGCAGTAACCAGGAGCCAGTAGGGTGTGTTCCTAAAAGTTTCTGCTTATTTATTGACTTTAGGAACCACTGGTGCAGGAGGACAGGTACAAAGGAGTAATTTCAGCTACTGAGTTATATTAGACTGTGAATAATCTCTGTTAGGTTGGAAGACCAGCTGGATTCTGGTCTAGTTATGAAGAAGTGTTAGGAAATGTATTCTGTGAGTAACTCTGCCCCATGAAGGACAAACAAGATGACTCTCAGTGACAAAAATCGGCCATATTAGCCAAAATGCACAGACTCTATAAAAGGGTGAAGGCATATGGTCTTAGCATGARCAGACAGAAATATTCCTACTCCACAACTTATATTGTTCTCAGACAKTTAATAACGTTTTGGTCAGATCCTTCCAGACCACAAGACTGTGGTTTTCTCCTTCTTCATTTCAAATCGTGTCACTGCTGAGTGGATATGCCTGATGTGCAGGCAGAACAGGAAAAGTCAGAAGCACTTGGCCTACAGCAGAATCATCAGAGAGTGTGAATAGCAAATGTGAAAGGCAGATTTTCAGTCAGAGCAGACTATCAGATCTAGGGAAGAATTTTGCTTGGACACTTCTTGTGCCGTATCTCCGGAGAGGTGAAAGAGCCTAACAACAACAGACACACATTTAGAAAGAAGGGCAAAGGTAAAGTCCCAAATCTTTCCCWGAGTTCCAAGGCTCCTGGTGTTACACATGCAATGAACGACACCTGTTCCTTCACATAATGTGGTCTCTCACCTCTTCTGAGAATGTCTGGAGCTGATCTTTAGAATACACGTACTGCCAGATGCGTTCCATGTCGTTCCAGTCCTTCACTATGCCATGCTCCATCGGGTATCGGATCGCAAGGAGACCTCTGTGCTCCTGAGCAAATAAAAAGGACAAGAGAGATCAGAGGCTCCAACAATCACATTTCTGAGCACTGTGATTGTGACTTACTGTCAGACTCTAGTTTTGATTCCACTAAAAGATAACTTATCTATGGCATACACGACAAAACCTGAACACTCACGACAAACATCTCTCCCAGAGAAGCCAAGATTAGACAAGGCCTGTTCATGCCAAGAAGGAATRTTTAAGTCTGATGCTTGCAGAGCATATTCCATCCTAACACTTTTCAAGCCAACACGCAGACACCTATCATATGGTATCTTTGTACTACCAGCTCAGTCATGGTAAAAAATGCACCTGGGTGGTACTGGAGAATGCAGTTTGAGGAGCTCACAAGAAATGTGACCACACAACATTTGACAACATACTGACAGAAGCAGAACTCAGAGAGAAGCTTTCTGCCCACAGTGGTGAGATATACAGCAATTGAGTAGGGTCCATTTCAAAAGTTCCCAGTCAAAAAAATGTAACCATATAGAGCTAGAAGTAGCCTAAAAAGAAAAGACAGATAATAGAAGGTCTTGGGAACCAGGTCTGTGGTCAGCAGATTAGCACAAGAATTTCATGAAGCCTCCCACTCCACCTTGGACATGCATGCAAGTGATTATCTGTTCTACTCTTCAGACCTACACATGATACAGAGAACCACTGCCAGTCCAACTGCAGTCCAACTGCCACATCCCCCTATTACAGCAGCACACTGACATATGTGAAGAAGTGCAGTGTACAGGAGTTCTTACCTCTGCCTTTGGACCAATGAAAATGTCCCCTTCTAAAGCACCAGCCATAACACGAACGTGTTTTGGTCTGCCCACACTAGAACAGAGACAAGAGAGTAAATACTTCTTCATCATGAATGATGTGTCTGTGTCCCCAAAATCCCAAAGTACTTAACAGTGAAGTGAAACTCTTATCTCCCTGATGCTTCTTTGCAGCAGGCAGAAAAGAGTAATTCATTCTTTCATTTATAAAACTGGGCAGTTCTTTCCCTTTACATRTCAAAGAATTTGTACATGGTAGTATGGACTTACCAAGACCAGCAGAATACTTACTAGTTAGGAAAGCAGTATTTTGGTATTTGATCGCCCGCAAAACCTGCTTTAATCACGCCTGAGCCCTGTGGAAGCAACAAATATGTGAGCTTATCATTCATTCCATCATCTTCACAAGTTTTAGAGGAGTAGCAAAGTACATCAGCACTGCCAGATACCCTCCTTTCTACTAGGAATAAAGCTCCCCAGGGACTTACTCTTCAGGCTGGTTGGGGATGGGAAGTGCCAGCTTGGTTCTTGGAGGGAGTAACTGGCATCCTCCCTGGCAGCAACACATCTCACAGGGCACAACCACCCTGCGCACCCCGGTACTGCTATGCACACACCCAAACGCTGCCCTATGCAGACAAGTATTTTTCTAGCCAGGGCTACTGTGAGGGGTGCAGGAGGCTAAATTCACACTCCACAATTTTCTATTGATATTAGATAATCTCTGGGGGGAGGAGAAGACTCCAGAAAGCCCAGAAATAGCAACTGAACTCTGTCAGCTTCAGGGGACACTGGAAGAATGAAGGCTACAGGCCTCTGTGAAGGAAATTTGGAAAGAATGGAGGGAGGGTGGATAAAGTCAGAGAATTAAGATGCAAASAATTGTGGGAAACAGACTGGAGAGAAGACTAGGGTAAAGACAATAAAGTGGCGGATGAAGTAGCTAATGCTAAGAAGGCAGAAATGTGGTCAGAAAAGACACTGGAACGGACAGAGGCACTGGTTAGACTGCAAAGGGAACAGCTGGGGGCAGGAAGCATAGCTGACGGGATAGAGCTTGTTCAGAAGAGACAAAGAAGAGATGAGCGATGGCAGTCAGAAAGGCACAGATCCAAAGAGCCTTCCGCAACGTTCAAAGCAGCAAACACGGAGTGGGTAAAACCAGCCACTGCAAGGCCCTGGCAGGGAGTCAGTGMCGGGCATCTGGCCCTACAGTTCCCATCCCTATCCGGAAGCATCCTGGGAACACCATCATCAACTTGGATCTGTGCTGACTCCTTCCCCTCCTCCATTTCCTCTCCCTGCACAAGGGAATGACATCTTGAAACAATGWGCAGCTTACAGGAACACCCAAGTTTTGCTAAGGAGCAGATTTTCACAGGATCTCCTCAGATAAACTGTTTCACTGGTAATCCCAGACTACCACAGACASAAATGCATCTGCAGAAAGAGAAGCAATTCTGCCTGATCCCATGCTGGGAGCAAAGTGTATGTGAGCTTGCACTGAAAGTTGTGACCTGTGAAGAGCCTGTTCACTCCCAAGAGCTCTGCARCAGGACTGCTCTAGTTTGAAGGCCAAAAAGGTATTTTGGCTGCCCCACAGCATTTTACAATGAGTAGCAACACAGTTCCTCCATAGCTTTCTACTTCTAAGCATCTCTTATGTGTCAGCATCACGGCTTTCACTTTAAGGCTGGGGCCAGATGAGTCGCTCAGGGCTATGCCAGGCAAGCCCTGGCTGCAACAGTTCCTGACAGGGCCATCCCAGTGTTAGAGGTTACCAATCAGAGCAGGCTCAGCAGAAAGGAATGTGGGGCAACCCCAGCCTCTCTTCTTCACAGTCCAGTGCTTTACTGCCAAGCTACTTCCAAATACAAGCAGTTTCAACTGGAATGTCAGGCTCTGCACAGAGCATGTGTGCTCTGCCACCACAGCTGGAGGACTCCTGCCTCTAAGTCACCAGAGTTAGATTTACCAGGACACAKCTGTAGGAGGTGAGTGTCAGGAATACTCTGCAAACCAGACACAGCTATTTTTAAAGCATATGAAAGGTAGATTGCTTGAATCCTTGTCTCCTGATAAACACCTGCAGGCAGGCTGGCTCCAGGAGCACACCCAAGCTGCCAACTAGGCAGGACTACTTCCTTTTGGCACAAGGGACTTCGCTCCAGTTGCATCCCAAGGTCTGCATTAACTGRTATCAGTGTGACAAAATGGCCTGTGAAGTTTTAAAAAGACTTCCCTTGAGACAAACTCTCTTCTGGCTACTCCCTTCACAGTGAAAGGAKTTTTGATTTTGATTTTTTGTATCATAGCTTATAAACAACACTCTACCTGGGAAAGAATAACAACCTGTGTCAAGTCTTGGAGAAAAAAAGTTGAATGAAATGCGGTAACGTAATGCAACCACATTAGAATACTGCACTTATTGAATATTTTGTTCAAGATAATGACTGATCTTGCTGCCAGCATATTCAGCTGCAGGGAACCAGTTTCAGGAGAACAATGATGCTCCTATTTTAATTTAGAGATTGMAACTTCTTTATGTCAAGCCAAAAATTATCCAGTGTGTCCTGGTGAGATTCCCAGCAAGTTATGTATTTTAAGATTTCCATACTGAAGTTCAAAGTTAACCAAATGTGTTGGGAGTTCAGAACTCCAGCTTGGAGTCAAAGACCAATGACTGCTTTGAATGTGTTGGTGGGATGGGGCTTTAGCACAGTTGTGCTTCCAAGTGCCTGGGAATAAACCAAGAACAGCTGTTTGATATCTCCACACTACAAAGACCTGACTGCACTTTCTGACCCATCCAATTTTTCTTGAAAACATTTTAYTTCTTTGAAGATACATGCATACGGAGTAACTCTGTTTATTATAGACCAGTTTGAGAGGAAATGGAATGAGARGAAAATGTTTACATTTTGAAATAACCCCGATTCAGGAGGTTTAAAGACCTGYTTTTCCATTTTTGTTTCAAATAATCAAAACCACATGCATTTTCTCTTCTGCTACAAACTCTGATTTATTAAAACATTTCAAAAATTTACAAACTTATGTACTTCCACCAGTAACTATTCTGCCCGGGTCCTCATTTCCATTTTGTTCAGCAGGGGTGTTTTGTTTTATTTTTTTAATCTGAGCAAAAGAATTAAAGAAGAAAAACTACATATAAAACGTAGCGGTCAAGGAAGAAAACTCTTGAAAAATTCTTGTGAGTGCCTTGAARGAACTGAAYRTATCTCATCCACTAGTTCTGAAGTCAGTTTATGGATTGATTCATCTTGATGCATTTAGGACTCAAATTTAAATGGAAATCTCCAATCAATCTTCCATGTAGCAATTACTATGGAGAGTGCATGTTTCATATCGTAAAACTGTTTCATTTAATAYAGAATTTATAAGATCAAGAACAAACAAAAGACAGAACCGCCCTTACTGACAGCTCAGCTGCTTAAAATGTCACCACTCAGACTACAAAGCAAACGAGATAATTCCATGGAGGTCAAGAAATTCGCACTTACTTAGGCTACAGATGGACTATCTACATGTGCATTACGTTAAGCAGGGGTCCAAGACCATTCAGAGAGAGAGTTTGTTGGACTGGAGATGGGAATACAACTCTTGAAAATTAGACAATGCAGGGCATTAAAGTTGTGCTGAGGTACAGCTCCAACCCCTCACAGTACATTACAGTGCTCTCCCTGCTGAAAATATGCAGCTAAGAGCACAGTTTGGTAAGGTGAAAAAGCCTCCTTGCTGAGTTTTAGCTACAGAATTTCATGTCCTTTTRAAACACACTGAAATACTAGAGCAGAGCTGGGACTGGATGGGGTCTGGCTCTCACCAGTTCAGTATCTCACTTCCCCCTTCCCACCTTCCCACGTACAGGCACACGTGAGACAGGATAACATTCAGCCTTCAAAAGGTGCCTGCAGCTCTCTGAGGAAAAGCAGGAATGGAACAGCAGCGGGAAGAGTGGTAACTGCTCTGTGCAGCTYCAATTCCTATCCTGCCTGAACTCCAATGAGTACCAAAAATGCAGTGTCACCACACAGCTCCTCGGCCCACAGGCTGCCAGTGTTCCAGGCAGATGTTACAACAACTGGTCCATTCTACTTCTTATACAGGGAGGGGGAGGGGGAGAGCTCATTTATCGGAGAGGCAAGAAGAAATAGCTTTTATAAGACCAGCTGATAAAATGAAAAAAGACACAGAATCAGCTGCTGGTACATGAGCCCTTCTTCAAGTCTGAGGCAGGGGTGGCAATCATTGCACTAAATAACAAAAGGACATGCTGAAATTAAATATAGGCTGGTACTACATGWATAGTTCAACAAAGTCATCCTCGCAGTACCAAAATACCGAGAGATAAATTTAACGTTTAGGTAATCMCTCAACAACACAGCAGGATCAGTGCTGATTCAGTCATTCCAAAAAACAATCAACCTAACACTTTTTTTTTTAATATCTTCAATAAAAAAGACACGTTTTTCTCAACGCAGTCAATTTTGCTGCTTACTCTCATTTTCTGTTAAATTATTTCCTTCAATGTCTAACCTAAATCTCACTGCTGTAAGATTCCAGGGAAAGAAACAATGCAAAAACTGTATCAGAGAGCTCAGACTGTAGAGAGGAGTCTGGGATCTATAAAGAACGGGTCAGAACAACTGCCTTCATCTGAGAATACCAGATCATTTACCTTATAGTGAGTTAAAGAAATGGGTTGAGAAGTGCCAGGCTAGCAAGCCCACATCAAATGTCAAAAAGATTCAGCAGACATTAAGCTTGTGGAGGAAGAATGGAGCACAGCACTGACCCTTCAAAACAACACAATCTCAATCACTGGCGGTAGAGGTCAGAAGGGAGGAGCASGGGTTTGTGACTCACTACACTGAAGGAGGCTCCCTCTAAGATATGCCCTCCCACTTCTTCCTGGAGAGTCCTTCCTCCTGGGAGGGCAGTGTGAATGGGGCAACTCAGAAATGGACCCAGAAGTACCTCACGGAGGCAAGGAATCACTGTCATTCATCTCCTGCAGAGCTATTACACACACAGATTGAAGGTCTGGTTTGTGCTAACGAGCAGCATCAGCAGCTTGGAGCAGCCATCTGCAACACCACACCATGCTGTCAGATTACAGCTGATGCAACCCGTGCTGGGAACAGATCCTTCAGCAGCGGCATTCCAAGCATGGGAATCCACGCCTTGGAAAMAGCACTACTTTGTGACCACTATGCTGGATGCACTGAAGAAGGAGCAGTATMGGGGGCAAAGGCTTCTCTCTGGCTGGGCCTGTGATGGGGGCCTGCCTGGAGAGCTCCATGTCCCACATGGGCCAAGGGAAATGCCGCACCCCCAAAGCCTTTGCGGGGTCCATCCAAGGCCTGCCAAGAGCACGCTGGAACCCTGGCCAAGGCCTGCCCCGGAGCATGCTGGGAGTGCGGCCATGGTCTGGCCTAGCACCCCCATTGTCCCCCCGGCACAAAGAGGGGCGGGGCGGGGCCGGGGGAAGCCCCGCCTGACTGACAACGCCGGCTGCCAATGAGCGCAGGTGCTCCGGCCCCAGTCCCGTCCCACTCCGGCAGGTACAGCGGGCCGCCCGGCTGACTGACAGCCGCCCCGGCCAATGGCGGCGCGCCGCCCCTCCCAGCCACAGGCAGCTCGGCGGCGGCGGGGGCTGCGCCCCCCGGTGCGGGGCAGCGGCCCCACGGCGGGTGACTGACAGTCGCCCCAGCCAATCGTGGCGCAAAGAAGCGCAGCAGCCCCGCCCCCCTAGGATGCCGTATGGCGCTGTGCGAGGGCCGGAGGCGGCGGCCGGGCCGGCCGAGGGGGGGGAGGCGGCGGGCGGGGCGCGGCCGCCCCCGATGACAAAGGGATTGCGGGCCCTCCCCGCTCCCGRGACGCGCGGCCGCCCGCACTCACGTTGTCTATCACGACGGGCTGGTTCGCTATCACGTCGTAGGACTCCATGGCGAGGACCCGCCGCAGCCGCCCGTGAGGGAGCAACAGCCCAGCCCTCGGCGGCGCATGCGCGGAGTGGCGACGCGGCGCCGCCTGGGTGATGTATTCCTGCGGCCGCGGTGCCTGCCGGGAGCTATAGTTCGACGCCGCGCAGAGCTCAGGGGGAAGTGGCGCTGGAGCGGGGCATGCTGGGAGCTGTAGGCCGGCACTGGGAGCGAGGCACGCTGGGAGCTGTAGGCCGGCGCAGGAGCGGGGCGTGCTGGGAGGCGGAGTGCGGAAAAAGGGAATGCTGCGGACACATCCACGACCGAGAAACGGGGGGATTTTGCAGTCCAGGGGATAGCTGGGTACTTCCCCTAAAATCGCTGCATCACGATTGGCTGGCTTCCGCTTAATAGATTCCCCCCATAATTTTTTCCAGTAGGAAAGGAGAAAAAGGTGATCCCATCAACTTCTGTAGAGGGGATCTATGACTAAGGAAAGAGTTTTATTGTCCCATCATTTCATCGGATCATCTTTATGAACTACTGGTCATARTGTCACCGAAAGTAAGATGGAATGAGAATTCCTCAATTCAGTTTTGGGAGCTCATATACTTACGGCAACTAATCTATGTACCCCTTCCTACCTCCTCAGGGCAAAAGCATAAAATTACCAAGGGAAGCACGTGCAATAATGGTAAGAGATGTGTTATTGTGCAGAAGAAGTGGCAGCTGGAAAGTTCTCTGCAGCTGAAGAAGTGACTAAAAGAAAAAATGTTGGAGAATCACTTAAAGTTTTGGTTWAGTTGAAAAGGTTTTTGTCTGAAACTGAGACCCTGAAAATGGTATGCTGAGGAGATTGGAATGAGTTCTGGGAATCCACCTGTAACCAGATTGATGGGAGGGATAGGAATAGTAACCTTGATCATACATAATTGTTTATCTAACATTTGAGAATGCTAAACCCCACAGAAGGAAAACACTGCCTTAAAAAAAGATGAGTAACGTGTTCCCTCCACAAAATACCAGTTTCTGTCCATTTTTGAGGCATGAGAACCACAAAAGAGGTGTCAGAATAAAGAATACACATCATGAGCATTTCAGTATTGAACAATGAACACATAGTCATTTTCCATTGAGTAAATGTTCTAAAAGCATTTTATCGTTCTAAAATCGATAACTGAAACTCTGGGTCTTGAAATTAATTTAAATGAACTTCCATGCCKATAAGTACACCTGAAAGCTAACTCACCTGCCTTGTCCTACATCTCTCCTCCAGACTTTTCTGCCCTGTCACTCTGTAGTTCCTGCCTTTAGCCCTAGTAGATAAGTCTCATCCCAGATGTTTACCTTTGGCGACCTTCCTACTGTAGGAAGAGGGAGCTTTTGTACAACAGGATTGAGGGGCTGAAATTAAGGCCGGTGTTATATCACTTCAGTGAGTGCCAGTACACMCTCATGTGCATATTGAGCCAATACAGCCTTTCTTTCATACAGACTCTTACATCCACCCTCTCAGCTGACTGTAGCTGTCTTCTCCGACAGATGTCACAAAAGGTCGTATCACAGTATAGTGATAACTATATAGTACAGTAACAGGACAAGTGATTTTTTTGTTTTTCACTGTGGGAAGTGAGGACACATATTGCTCACCTCCTTGATCAGGGGATTGTYACTTGTCTGTCAGCTTGCCCGCTTCTTGACCATGTGTGTTCTCCCAAAAGRTGTTGTGAATGTTTTTAGAATAAACTCTCACTTATTTGAGAAATGCAAACATGAGCGTTCACCCTCTCCTCTGAGCACYCTATGGATCACTTTTTAAATTTGCTGATTAACAAGCAGGACCCCACTCTAGCAAACATGTGCAGGACTATTGTACAATTCACATGTACACACCTGGCTTGCATGACCACAGGTGYAGGTRCAACTCARCAATKAGCCAGACCGTCAGTGTGCTTCGTGCACAAGTCACAATCCGCGATCAGAGAGCCCTCAAACTTCACCTATTGGCAGCCAGCAGCTGTCACCAAGGGACCTACAGACACAGAGAGCACACGGGGAGAGTAAAGGTGCCTTGAGCATTGGGGCAGGTGTAAAGGCACCATAACAAACCCCTCCTGTTCCCTCAGGCCCGCCCCGCTGCGGACCCTCCCGCTACCCCCGGACCCCGCTCCGCGTTCCCGCCACCGCCTCGCGCGGGAATCGCCCCGCCCACAGCCCCGCGAGCCGCTAGGGGGCGCRCCCGCAGCGTGACGTGAGGCGGGGGCAGAGGCGGGGCTGCCCTTCGCGCTGCGCCTCGCCATTGGTGGAACTGCCCTGTCACTCACGCCGCCCGTGCGGCGGGGCCCCGCCCCCTCCGCGCGGAGCCCCGCGCAGAGCCACCATTGGTGGAGCTGCCCTGTCACTCACGCAGCCCGTGCGGCGGGGCCCCGCCCCCTTCGCGCGGAGCCCCGCGCAGAGCCGCCATTGGTGGAGCTGCCCTGTCACTCACGCCGCCCGGCATTAGGCCCTGCCCCCTCCTCCCGCGGCCCCACGCAGCCGCTTGGGCCGGGCCGGGCCGGGAGCGCCTGGCGGGAGCGGAGCGGGTCGGCACCAACTGGGACGGGCCGGGACCAGCCGCCTCCGGGACATGGAGGGTGTGCGGCCGGGCGGGGGCCCCCCCACGAGCGGGCCAGCGTCCGGCTCGGGGTCTGGGTCCGGGTCCTTTCCGTCGCTCTTCCCGCCGGGGCTGCACGGTATCTATGGCGAGTGCCGCCGCCTCTACCCCGACCAACCCAACCCGCTCCAGGTCACCGCCATCCTCAAGTACTGGTGAGGCGGCCTGGATGGGGCCGGGGTCTTGCGTGGAKCTGGGGAAAGCAGTGGGGCCGGCGCCTTGTGTGGGATAGGGGAGGAGTAGTGGGAGTGGGAGAGGTTTGGGAGAAGCRCTGGGCGACGCGGGGGAGCTGGGGAGGCTTGCAGCAAGGGGAAGGGGACTGGGGTTGCGTCCTGAGTTAATGGTGAGATGCAAGAGTTTTGGGGTTGTGCAGCGGGTCTSGGGATGGAGGCATTGGGGATGCAGTTTGTTGCTCCGCTGGTGGGGTTTCTGGGGAAGATGTKCTGGCCGTAGGAGGAGGGGTCTAGGGAGGCGTGCGCTGAAGACAGGAGGGTGTATTGGGGTTTCCGGGGTGATTTGGAGRGTCCCTGAGTGAAGGGTGGTTTATGAAGGTCCTGGCTGGGATAGGTCGTACAAAAAGGGAGTGCGTGTTGCTCCGTGGAGGTGTTCCCACAGACGGTGAGGGGCTGGAGTTTCCCTCCCTGGAACGAGCTCTGTTTTCTGGCCAGCAGCCTGGGTTCGAGTGTGGCCAGCACTGACCAGAGAAAGGCCGTTGTTCCAGCTCCAGACCGGACACATGCCGTGTGTACCCRTAAAGCCCACGGGGCAGTGCCACCTTCTCTTGGCCTTACGTAGCCATGTGTTATCACAGACTGTGAATCTGCTGCTCAGTGTCTCTGCTGACACAGTGTCTGACACCAGGAACAGCAGTTGTTTATGTGRGAGAGTGGCATGAAGGAAGTGCTTGGATGTTTAGCTATAAGATAACTGTCTACTGTCTAATCCCGTGTGAAGAGGAGTTTCTTTTGCTTTTTGCTATCGTTTAGCTGCTCAGCCCTCTCTTCTGGGGCTAAGCAACATGATCAAGTCAACCCCCCCCACAGTGTTTGCTTTATCTGACATTGGCCAGTCCCTACCCCAGCACCTGGAAAAATTTAGTAAATGCTTAACTTCTTTATTTACAGCTCATTTCAACCTGTATGTCTCTATCTGATTACAGCCCCAGGCAACAGCAGAATAACATCCTCCCTGTGTGCTGCTCTGACAGACAAAGCTATTGCAGTTTTTGTCCACAGAATTGTTGGGTTTTAAGTGATTCTAACAAGAAGTTTGTTAGCCCTTATTGCTTAAGGGAGTATTGCATTAAAGTGACACAGTAGGCTGAGATAAGATGTTGCAAATCTGAGACCTCAAAATAGAAATAATTTGTTAGTCATCTGTTCACATCAGTACTTTGGTGGTGGTCTGAGCAGYCTATTTTTACAGCTATTTCTGATCTTATATACTCATGAAGAGTTTCCAGTCACGTCAGCATTTCTTTTCTATCAACATCTTGGAACAATAYTGACTATAGTGATGTAAGATTTGTGGGGGTTGAGGGAAATTTAGGTCTATAATAAAGAATGGCAAAGACCCTTGTTTGGGAAGAAACCTTGTTGTTTGTTTTCTTAAGGGATTGATTAGGGTTTCACTGCAATTGGAGCTCAAACGCTAAAAAAAATGCTGCTGGCAATGATGGCAGGTTGCAAGYAAGAAGTAATGTGAAGGCCTGTTTATCCTGGCATTTTCCACGTTAGCAGTTCCTCCAACTGTTAGTTCAGGCAGCAGTGAGAGCTGAGAGCTTCTTTTGTAGAGGTGAGCTTCTTACTGCTGTCCTGTGCAGGAAATGTTTGTGAGGTGAAGTCTGTGGACGCTACAAGTACTTKCTCTCCTGTTGTTGGGTGAAACTTGGTGCTTGGTTTTGTTAAGTCCGGTACAGTGACTCCTGCCACAACTCTCTCTGCTGAAATGTCCTGCTCTGCCTGGGGTGCCAGCTATTAGCTGGTTTAGATTAGAAGAGGAAATCGCTGAAATGAGTTTCCCGCCTTAGGAGAAACATYGTAACACTAATTATGTGTATCAGTTTCTCTATGGTTAACAGAGATTTGTTTGTTTTRTTCAGGCAGCTGAAGTTGTAGTCTTTGATTTGCACGTCAGAGCAGGTCCTTACTGTGTAACATTGGAGAATCKGCAGAACTCCATGCCTATTACATAAAGGGGTTTAGCCAAGTGAATTATTTAATCGAACTAGTAATTTAAATTGCTATTTGCATATCTTGGGAAAGAATTTGGAATTCAGTCAGAACTTCTTGGTAGAGTTTCTGTCTGTGTTTGTGAAGGCCACGAACCAAGATGGAGTTTCTCTGTTGTTGTCTGGTGTCCACTCTTACTATAAAATGTAGTAGAGTATCTCAAAGTGGAATATCTTGTTGCATAGGATTACTGGTGAAAAAAAGCAAATTTGCGCTTTCCTTTGTGAT